GACAGTGTTAGGCTGGGGGAAAAATGAAGCCAGCTAACTAGTTTTGAGAAGTATAATGCCAGATATTCAGGGCTGACTAGCCTTTCTACTTCCAGAGAATACCTTTGCATTGCTTTTTTTGGAGTGATTCTCTGTCTATTTATTGCTCTAAAACATTGGAAACTACAGTGGTGTAAGGAAGCATTTTTAGCTTCCTGAGACTATGCCAGTTTCTAGTCTGATGCTAGAAGAGTGATGTAAGAGTTATTTAGGGACGTAGCCCTGAATTTCTTACTGAATTCAGAATGACCTGATTTACAGAAATAAATGATTTATTATGCATTGCTTAAATACTTGTGGCTGCAGTACTAAATATATATCAATAATGTTGTTGCAAATACTTACTGTCCCTAGAAATAGTTAAGGTGAGTAAAAGAAATTAGGACATTAAGGGCTATAGTTCTGTTTAATCTGTTTAGGTAATAACACTGCTGAGAATTTCTGTAATCTGGAATAATTTTCAATTTTTTTCCTTGGGGCTTAACATTTGCAAACTTAAGTATGTGGTTTTGGTGTTGCCCTGAATTGCTACTTACCCACTTTAGGATGCTCAAGTAAATTATCTTCTCTGGTTTATTATTAATCTACACAATGAACACACCTTGCAGTCTGTGTTAGCAGCTTCTGTACTGTTTCTTAGTGTTAATTAGCCCACACTTTCATACTCTTCACTTTTGCGAGTTGCTTGCTGAATCAACTTACTAATTGCTATAAAAACCTAAGCCTTTTCTGATCTACAAATCTTATGTATATAAGTAACCTGAAAAGAAAGCCCTTAACAATCACAATTTAGAAGTAAATCCCCTAGCTTAGTAACATGAGTTTCTAGGTGGTAACCATTGTGAAACACTTGGATTCTCTTAGTTGTAAAACAAAGGGAGCAAGAGTTAATGGATCAGTGCAAACAAAGTGGATTTTAAATAATACTAAACATGCTATGTTTCAATAAAATGCCAACTTTGTTCAGTGTATTGGGTTGCAGGCATAAGAGTTCTGTGTATTTTGGAGTAGATGAGAAATTTTCTCCTGGGGAACTGATTTTGTTAAAAAATGCTGATGTGATTCAGTTAAAATGCTCTGTGGGAATTTTGGCAGAACTCTTGATGGAATTGATAAACCCTCCTTGGTGCTTTCCTGCCGTGCTGGAGCTGCCGGATCCTGGCAGGCACCATGCAGGATCCTGGGGGCTGCACCATGCGGGGCTCCTGCCCTCTGCTCCCCTCCCAGCCTGGGGGGCCACACACCCTCCCTCTGCCTGGGGCTGAGAAAGAAGCTGTTCCAAAACTCCTGCTTTGGAATCAGCAGGAGTCTGTTAGTCAGGAAAAAAGAACTGGTTTTGGGTTTTGTTTTTCTAAAGATTGAGTTGGTCTCCAAATCACTTTGTTGGAACCAGATTTTTCTTTAACTTTGCTATAATTTGGGGGTGAAAAGAAGCTGGGGACAAAAAGAAGTTTCAGCTGGAATGCTTTGCAGAGTAAGATTTCTGCTTTACAGCAGGTGCTAGTAGGGACTGAAGGAGAGGGCTGAAGGGCTACCTGCACAGATGGTGATAGACCATGCTGTACCAGTCTGGGAAAATGATTAATCAATACTACAGGGACTTATTCTAGCACTAGGTTCTTTTAATTTGGCCTTATGTTTCTCTGCTCGGGAGTTCTGTAAGAGAATGTTCTAAATGTGATGCTGATTCAGCATCATGATGGTTTTTGAATGTAATAAAAGCAGTTCTTTGGGTTTTAGCTGGATCGTGATGCAAATGGCAGTGTAGAGAACAAATGTTCTACCCATGTTTCTAATTGCAAGTTGCATAAATATGACTTGGATTTTAATGAACGGGACTTGGGATAATAATACTGAGGAATAGCAAATGATTAGTGAGCAGGATGTTTAATGCACATATTTTGTAGTCCTATTGCACTTTTGTTGCTGTAGGTAACCTTCATTCTGACACTTCCCAAATTTTGAGTTTGTATTTCAAACTTTATTGATCTCTTAAAAGAAACCCTGTAACTTCATAAACCTTTTTGTTGACAAAAATTAAAAGGAAAAAAATTACACTGGTGTAATTAATTAATTAATAGCATTGGAACTTTGAGGTTCCTGATTTCAGGTTCCAAGCATTTCCTTGCTTCATGAGTTACTGTAGTATGTTGTCATCATTTATGGAGGATCAGTGCTGGAGGAAGAAAATGTTTTCCAATGACTGCAAGGCTGTTTATCTCTTCTTTAATGTTAGTAATCTTCCTACTGCTTGACTTTTCCACCTTGTCCTGTTCCATTCCCTTACACATGTCAAGATTTTACTAACCTGGTTTCTTTTAGTACTTAACTCCATTGGAGTTTTCTGCCTAAGCTAGAACCTCCTCCTACTCTGTGCTGGGTTCTGTTGCTGCTCTTAGGCATCTCCTTCCCTTGACAGTTCTTGTCCAAAACAAGCCACCTTTTCTCCCAATCACAGCTTGAAAGTTTCCTGTTTAGGATGTACTTGCAGTACTTCCCCAGGTGTTGGCAAGCAGTTCTCCCTGCAAGGTGGTTCATCATGTCATTTTTTCCTGCCCTCAGCCTCAGCTCTTTCGTCTGTCCTCCCTCTGTCTTGCTTGTTTGATTCCCACCAACCTGCTGATGACAACTCCCTCTCCCAGTATACACATGCTTTCCCTGCATGTTCAGTTCTTGAAGTTTGTCCTGACCCTCTTCTCCCATTTCTTCTTCATGCCCTACCTCTTTCCTGTTCTTTTCATTCCCCTTGTTGTCCCCACCTGCTGCCTGCCACCTTTGCAGTATTTCAGTTTCTTCTGCCACTGTGGATATCAGTGGTGAAGTGACTGAGGCTGCTGGGAAGGTAGTCCTGAATTGTCTTTGGGGACTCAACCTCTATCCAGCAGGAGCTATACTTGGAGGAAAAATAGCCTTGAGCCAAAGAACACTTGCTTCCTCCATGAAAATGGCTCATGAGCAGATCTAATGTGTGGGGGAGGTTGAAGCACACATGAAATCCTCAGAGACTTCAGTCAGATTCTTAAAAATATTTTACTCTCTATTTATTTTACTCTTTCTCTCTCTCTCTATTTGTAAATATATATGTTGGAGGCACGGAGAAGAACATTGAGGGGACAGACAGGTTCTTTTAGGGGTCTTTGGCAGAATGATGATAGCACTAAATCATAGGGACCATTAAAGAGTTATTTTCTTAACAAGATATTATGATTAGCATAGCACAGAATGTATTATTAGAATGGCACATGAGTTCTACAAGCAGAATCAATGTTGTGTAATTTATAAGTAACATAATACAGAATTTATAATACAACTTCACTTATAATTTCTAATCACCTTTGCAGGTCAAGACAAATCTTTAATAGATGTTTTGCTGTATCAATACAACAATCATAATTTAGACTCAACATTTGTATAAAATAATTTGAGTCACACCCTCCATCCTTGGAGAAAGGAGTTCCTTTCTAAGGAGTTACTTAGAGTAATAAAAAGATGTATTAAAAAAGAGCACAATGTGTAAACCAAAGTCACCTAAGGCTGAATGTCAAGACTGTAAAGTAGTGTGCTCTAGGATGTTCTTTTCAAGGAATTCATACAAATCTTCTTTTAAATGCTTGTGTTGACCAGATGAAATGCACAAATATCCTTTTAAGAGGCCCTCTTGTGTTAATGGGAAGAAGACAGTGAAGCAAAATATTCCTTTGTGGCTTCTGAAAGTGCATATGTTTGAGTTCCAGAAATGCTGTATTTAGTGTAACCTCAAGTAGTGTTCACAAAGCTACTTGAAACAGACTGCTACTTTGCACTATCATGCTTAAGTAGGACATAGAGCCCCTAAATACCCATGGAAATTTAAACGCAGGGAACAAAAACTAGGCTCAGATCCAAAGCCAGCTGAAGCTGATTAAAAGACTGCTTTTGGCTACTGAGTGCTCTGGCTTAAGCCACTTGCAAGCTAGATTTGAGTTTCAGGTGTTCAGACAGACTTGTCAGGTTTGTTAATTTTGTAGGTTTTTCTTCTGATTTGTGTTCAAGGTACTGTCTATGATTATAGGTGATATCCCAATGTGTACAGTGCCTGAAGCCTTACATATTTTCACTACTGAGTTCTAAAAATAGTTAGTACATAATATTCAATACCTTAACTACACTTAATCACCAGATCATGTATTCTTTTTTATGGCTTGACACTATACACTGTTAAATCACAGGTATACCTAGAGATGATCTACTTACTCGTATAAGATATGCCTGCAATTAGAAGTGAGGGAAATACATAGTATGGAGTTCTTGATTTGGCTAGTTTTAATGTGCTACTCCATTCTTCCCATCCTGTTAGTTATCTAAACTTTTCAAGCTAGGAAACAGAAGAGAGCAATATATTTTCATATGAGACATGTCTGTAGAGTTACAAATACAGGTTAAAGTGAGAGGTGATGGTCTGCATGAGTCAGATGACTGTTTTGTTTCACTTGTTTGCATGCTTATCTTCTGTTTTAGAAATAGAAAATAAAATATTTACATTTTATAGTAATGTTTTTTTTGAGTGCAGTCCAAGTTAGTTCCTTCACTTAATTTCACTTGGCATGTTTCCCCACTTATGTTCAGGCCAGCCTGTGAAATTAAAGCTGTATGTAGTTACTAGCTATCTGTGTGCTGTGTTTCCAATTTCTTCCAGTTGAGAAAGCTGGAAATTCACTTTTGGAGTTGAGTGAAGATTCTGTTCCAAATGTTAATAGATGTGTAGAGCTTGTTGACTCTTCTAGCTGAGCGTTTTTCCTCATATACTATTCAGCAACAAAATTTTTCTCAGTACAAAAAAGGTTTTGGATAACTCTGACCTACAATTCTGTAAAGCATCCTGAAGAGTGAGTTTTAGCACTTAAGGGTCAAAACGCTTGCATCCGTTTTGGGGGATAAATTGGAAGTTGTTTTAACTAATTTCTTTTGTATTTGACCTCTAGGTTCCAGCAAGATGTGGAGTGACAGTGCGAGACAGCCTAAAAAAAGCGCTGATGATGAGAGGTCTTATTCCAGAATGCTGTGCTGTTTACAGAATACAAGATGGGTATGGTTTGTGTGGGATGCTTTTTTGCTCTTGGAATCAATTATTGGAGCTACCCAGAATGGCCAGTTCTATCCAGAGGTTGTTTACAGAGTTCAGAATTTTATGATACTTTGCGCTAAACAATTTGCACATTGCAGACATGTTGAAAAGAATGTCTTACTCCTAGGAAAAGGCTCAGACATAATATTCAGTAATATGAAATTATGGCAAACCACTCATTTAATTAAACTCATGCTAACCAAACAAGTATTAAATAGCTGTGTTAACTTCTTGGTTTTATTTCATTTGGCTATAATGCATTCTTAATGAAAGACAGAGTTCCTTGGGATGAGAAAAAAAGAGTTTTCAGCCCTAAAAATTTGTATATTCGTGTGCACAATTAGCTATCTCTGTGGAACTCTTACACAACAGGTATCTTCACAAACACTTTATTTGATCAAAAAGCCATCTGCCATGTAGGAAACAAGGAATTGGCCACTACTGGAGCTGATAGAAAAAGTGCATTTCCTTCCTGCAGTTTGTCCAGGGAAGGTGTGCTTTGTGTGCTATGTACTGAGCCTAAGGTCTTGTTCTAAAGTTTCCTGCAATTAGACTGGGTAGCAACCCCCCACAGTGTAACTTTTTAGCTGATCTCACAACTTTGGCAAGAGACATGTAAGGGCTTGTGTGCTGATGCTAATGAGAGGCTTATTTGCACTTTAGAGAGAAGAAGCCGATTGGCTGGGACACAGACATTTCCTGGCTCACAGGAGAGGAGTTGCATGTGGAAGTTTTGGAGAATGTGCCACTCACAACACACAATTTCGTATGTACTGGGTTTTGTGAGATGCTGAGTGGGGTTACATCAACTTCATACTTTGAAATTCAGCTTACCAACTTGGAATATTTTGCATCTGTGGGATGTGGTAGGAGTTGCAAAAGAAGTTTTTAATCACAGTAGCTTAAGTGAATTAGATAGAATTGTATTTGAAATAAGTGATGCTAGAGTACTTGATCACCCTTAAAACTTTCACGTTTTGTTGGAATACACCCTCTAAAATCTATAAATGTAAGGGGTTTATATCAGTACTGCATTGCAGAGCTGTAATAATCTACTATTTTTGTATTGCTGTATCTATAAAATGTATTCTGGGCCTCCCTGCTGGCTCTGCAGCAGCAATTAACTAATGAACTAACTATTCCCAGAGCAGTGCTGACATCATCAATGATGCAGTGCACAAATATGTTTTGACCTGATAAGGCACCAAGTAAATGGAAGCTACTAAACAGAATCTGTCTAAATGCTTCCAGCTACATACAAAATCCTGTGTCACATTGGGAAGAAAGACCTTCTATTTCAGCTTAAAACATAGCAAAATTCTATCTGCAAGCTGTTTCAACCTATTTAGCTCAAACTGGCTGTTTGGGTTATGGCTAGTTAGGTGAACTCTAGTAGGCTTACATTTTTTATATCCCACTGAAATTCTGATTATTACATGTAATAATAGAACTAAGAATGTGTCTTTACACTAGGTATTGCTGAATTTGAAAATTAAATAAATAAATTCCCCCCTGTAATCTGGGGAGAATGCGTGATCATCCTTCTGTGATTTTGAATGTTTCTGAGTTTTAGTAGTCAAAATTATAACTATATCTGTAACCATACATTGAAGCCCTATATATATGTATGCCTGTGTATTTCCAGTCCTGTGAGTATTATATGGAAATGTTCTTTGGCTTCTGGAAAAGTTAGAATATGAAATAATATTTCAGCAGCTTTTGGTTTTATAGGTTGTATCCAAAAAAATTCTCATTGTTTGTGTCTAGCATGATAATAGTAAAGTTTTGCTTCAGGTTTTTTGCTCTTGTTCTTACTGCTAGTGATGTGAACCATTAATTCCAAGAAACAGTTGAAAGAATGTTGTAGTGCATGAGAACTGTTTCAGAAAGGAGATGACGATCTTTCATGTAAATCTGTTTGGTACATAAAACTGTAGCTCCAGCATCACAAAAGAGACTTTTAAGTACACTTGAGGGAGGTAAAAGCAAATAGCCTATGTTGGGCTTACAGAAGGACTCTAGGTGATTTTGACTATTTTTGCCAATGTAGGTACGGAAAACGTTCTTCACGTTAGCATTCTGCGATTTCTGTCGGAAGCTGCTTTTCCAGGGGTTCCGCTGCCAGACTTGTGGCTACAAATTTCACCAGCGCTGTAGCACAGAAGTGCCACTGATGTGTGTTAATTATGACCAACTTGAGTAAGTAATCACAATTCATTTTCAAGTTGAGCCTTTTAACAAGTGTACAGCTGTCAGTGATTTCTTGTGTTAAATCTGTAATTCAGGAAGTCAGTGGAGGTGCCTGAAAAAAAAAAAATAGGAGTTCAGCTGTTCTTGTGAGACTGCTTAATTCATACTCTTTCTGTGCTAGCTCAGACAACCAGTTCATATTTCTTTGCTGGCCTATGAAGCCCTTTTTTTTGAAGTATGAATAGGGTTGCTGAGCACTTGACTGTATTGGACAGACTACTCATTGTGCACAGTTGTTATTATTAATCAAAACTGGTTCTTTATTGTGTGATGGTTAGGGCCATGTTTAAAATTTAGTTGTGGGTTTATTCCCTTCAACCTGAAAAAATGTCAAGAGATAGTAGTTGATTATAGTGAAATTGCTGTTGGTTTTACAATAATTGAAAATAAATCTGCTAGCAAGATTAATGCCTAGGTAAGAGCCGTAAAAGACAATGACCCAAGCAGTCCAGTGTTCTTGGATTGAGTTACTGAACTATTTGTTCAAACAAGTCTGATGTAGATTTAGGATCTCGTGTAAACTGGGTCTGTTCTATTTGATTAGTTTCAGCAGAGGCTATTAAGTCTTTTAAATAGATTTTTGTATAAGGAATAATTTAAAATGCTATTTTTCTTACCAAGAATGAATTTAATTTTAGTTTATTTTGGTATTTGTAACTGTTTCCATTGGCATCTCTGGAGTTTGTGCTCAGGGTGTAAGTTTATGTACTGATAGATATAAGTTGTTTATTCTTGAAGATCCAGATGTTTACAATTCCATCTAAAAGATTAAAAATTTAATTTCCACAAAGTTTATATTTAAGGCATGATCTTTTGATCATCTGTGAAGTAAATAATACTTTTAACATATCTTGCAGATTTAATGTGTGTGATCTTTAGTTTTAAATTTAGAATTTAATCAATGAGGTTTTGGGGTTTGGGATCTTTTTTGTAGTTTTTGAGTATTATATTGTGAAACTTCTGGGTTTTGCACAAGTTAGGTTGTTTTTGTTCTGTTCTTGCCTCACAGTTTGCTGTTTGTCTCCAAGTTCTTTGAACATCACCCCATACCACCGGAGGAGGCCTCCTTAGGAGAGACCACCCCAGCATCTGGATCATACCCCTCAGTGCCCCCCTCAGATTCAGTTGGGTATGAACTTATTCCTGCTGTTTAATAATATAACTTTTCAGTACTGTGCTAAGAAACACTGGAAGTAATGCTTTGCAGCTCTGCATTGTAGTCATCTGGCTTCTCATGCAAATACCCACCTATGCTTAACTTAAAAGAAGTGAATGTTTTCATTCACACAAATTCTATAAATTAGTAATGAGCCTAGGTTAAATGTGTGTGTAACTGTCTGTAGAATTGGGGTATTATCTGTTTCTTACTGATTTCTTCTACTAATAATTTAGACCTGGTCTAAACTGGAAAGATTTTATACTTAAAATTAATATAAACCAAAATTATATCCTCACAAATTCTTTTAGTTGGTTATTAAATTATAATTTATATGCTTTGAAGTGACATATGTCAGAGAATAAACCACATTACTGTAAGGCTGATGTGAACAGGTGCCAGTTCCAGGTTCTTAATACTGTTTTAGTAGCTTTTCCACATACACTGCTTTAGTATCCTCCAGACCAGCTGTCCTCTTCCTGTTCATGTTGGATTATACCAATAGCATCTGTTGCTGCAGCTCCAGGTTTTGTAAAAGTAGACCTCTAAAACTCACCATTTCCAACAGAGATTCTGGACCCTTTCTCCATGAAGAGATAAGAGCCCATATTTATTTATGTTCCCAATAGCAAAGAGATCAATGACACCATCCACCATTAGGTAGCTGAACAAATGTCCAGGGAAGAGTAACTCAGGGATGTATATCACACTCAAGAAATCTGGTGCATATTTATTATGAACACCAAATACGGAAGCCTTCAGAAAACCATTCCCAGGACGTGTGTGCTGTGTGGAGTTGAGCTGAATGTGGCAGAGAGGATCTCTTGAATTAGTGAAAATTGTGCCTAAATGAAGGCAGAGACACACTGGAAGCTACACAGGCACCTCTGGACTCTTTAACCAGAAGATAAATTTTCTGGACAGCCAAGAATGTTTTAATGAAGACCCAATAAAATGCCTCCCAGGAAAACAGATTGACAGTCCTCTGCAGGAAGGAACCTCACTTGGTAAGTACAGAGATTATGTTGTTACTTGTTCTATTTTGTGCAGATTCAAGTGAATTCAAAAGTACGTCTTCAAGGTAGTGAATGTTGCCTTTAGATGCTGTGGATATTAGTACAGCAGGTTGTGGCAAGGCTGCTTGTCAAGTATTTGTCATGCTACAGCCAAAATTGTAACTGGGCTAGAACTATTAATTCATGAAGCAACTTCTTCATGCCAATTGTGTTAAACACTAGTGGATGTCAAAGACACTATATAGCCCTAATTTTAACATTCTAAATTGTTCTACTTTTCAATTGCCTTTGCATCACATAGGTCCATTCTTACCAGCTTGTGAGGTTACAGTAGTATGGATTATCTTGATACATACACTACTTCAGGCAGTCTTAGTTTTGCCAAGTGAAAACAGAAGGAAAAAATGAGACCAAAGCTGGTTAATGCCTTGAGATCTTTAACTTCACATACATAAAAATGAAAACATTTAAATACACTTGCTAGTTGCTGTTTAGGAGCTTTTCTCAAGTGTTGCATCTATAAATGTGTGTAATTGCAGAAGATGTAAAACATTTCTAGCTTTCTCCTTTCTTCTTTTTTGCTTTGTTGTCCACTTTTATTGATAAACAAAACAAAGGCATACATCATGCCTGCCATATTCTGTTCATTTTGGAAATGGTTTATGATTATCAGCTGGTGTTCATACATAATATGCATGTTAGTCATACAGTGTTCCCCTAGCATCTGTGTATGTAGCACTTCCTTTCCAGAAGTAGCTCAGATGTTCTTGGATGTGCATATAGCTCTATCCGTACCTTTTCCCAGTTATCTTTCATGCCTTTCTTTAATCATACTTTTCTGCTTTTTAAGAACATAATTGTGGAAATATTAATCTAGCTGAATTTGAAAAGCTGGCCTTTTCTATAAAAACATGTACTCATCTGTGGTTTTATTAAAGAGGACTGTTGCAATCTGGGACAGCAGCTCAACTGGAATAAAAAAAAAAAGGCTGACATTTGAGCTTATATTATCTGGGAGGAGAATATAGGATTGATATTTGAGAGCTGAACAATGGGATGGAAACTATGAGGAACTAGCGCTTTATTAACACTTCCTAAATTAATAATTGTTCTTTTAATTTCTCTGTTCTAGCATCTTGCATGGAACAGCTCACAGAGAAAGGGATGTTATTAATCGTTTGGTAAGCCTGAGGAAAGAGAAGGCAAACATCCTTCTTCATCTCTAGCCTTGTGAAGGGATCCCAGCAGCAGGCCAAGTGCCCAAAAGAAAGAAGTTTGTGTTGCAAGACAAGTTCAAGAGTGAAAATGTGCAGTGGGAGCAGATGGAAAAGTTTGGAAGAGAAAGGGACATAAAGACCCTTGGACATGATGCAGAAGCTGCTAAACATGTTGGAGAACTGTTTCACTGTGCTCATGTACAACATCCTAAAGCAATCCAGGCCTGTAGCCTTTCATTCTTCCAACTGTGAGCCATAGGCAGTCCCACCAGGTTTTCCACCCCAAGGTGTGGGAGCACATATGGTCCCATTTCACATTTTTGAACCCCTTATAAAATTGTGTCTAGCAATTAGGTTTTGTGTCTTATTTTAGTTCTTTCCATTTGCATTATCCTGTTGTGCCAGAGCAACCATTTTAGTTACAACCTGCAGTTAAATGGAAAGAAAAGTGAAGGGCTCCCTGCTAAGAGCCATTTGTAATAAAACTGAAGTAAGGAAACTGTATATCAGACATTGTATTTGTTTTGTTCATTGCACTGTCATGAAATTTCTTCTCCATCTTGGCTTGTAAAATATGAGCACCGAATTCCTGTGAACCTGGTTCCCTCAGTCTCATATACATGAAAAAGAGAAATAAGCAAGTTGGCAATATCTTTGCTCTTTGAAAAACAGCATTTCCCAATATGCTTCGCCTCCTAAGCTAGAGGAAGAAAAGGGGAATGTCTGGTGCACTTTTCTTGGAAGCTTGCCAGTCCTTGCCTTTGAGCAGGCTCCAGCTTGTGATTAAACACCTCTGCTTTCCTTTCTGTTTCCAACTGTTCACTGATCATTCTGCTATCTTGAAGATACTTGAATGTGTAGAAAAGCTTCTGAAAAGCCAAGGAAGCGAAGATACAGTCTTAAAATATTACATTTTATGCTACAATGCCATTTAGATCCTGTGGTATGTAAGTGAGCAAAAACTTTGTGTTTTAATTCATAAAACAGTGAACTTTCCCCCTTAAAGTTCTGGCACCAGGCCTTTTCTAGGTTCCTCCATGAAAATGTTCCCGATGTTCCTACAATATACAAGTTGAGTTGATATGCATTCTTGCTTTGCAGAAAAGGTTTGGTATCAGAATCAGAAAACTCTCAGTCCATACAACAGGTGAGGGAAACCTCTTACTCTCCAAAACTTTATTTGCAAAAACCTGCTAGTGAACTGGACCTGGTTTGGAGGACTAACAGTGACAGTGGTTCTCTTGATAACCCCTGGTATATGAAGCTATGGGGAATTTTAGGCTCATCAGCTTTGATCTGGGCCCAAAGGCCATTAGAGATGAGTGCACACCATTTTGATACTCCTGACAGTTGTTTTTCACCTACAAGCCAACATGAATGAAAACAAGTTGTCATGGTATAAAAAACTGCACTAATTTGTGTGGGGTAATGACTTACAGATCTGTTCCATGATGCTTCTAGACTGACTTCAGAGGATGCTGCAAGAAAGATATTTAGCTTGTAGTTACAAACTGGTATTGTCCTTTTCTCCAAATTGGCATTTGATTTGGGATTATTGAGTATTTCCAGACTGCAGGGATAGGGAAAGTGGTATCTCAGCTATAGTAGCAAGCAGGTAAATTTAAATTGTGGAGGCTAAACAGGTTCTGATTTAATTATTGTGGTACTCCATAGACATTGCCAGAAAACCTAACTTTTTAATTTCTGTGTCCCAGATCCTTCGCAGTCCTAAGAAACTGCTTGGAACTGCAAGTGTACTTCATTAAGGGCAGTAACAAATCCAGTCTGGTGTTCATGCTCTGGTGTAAACAAAAACAGTCCAAAAAAGCCTTGATACACATTTTAGCTTAGGTTTGATATAGATATGAGTGTGCAGCCTTATAGGTGTGCAGCACTGAGCCCAGTGGCTAAACTGAGATGGACTTGTTCAGGGTGTGAGGAGGAGGAAGAAAATCTCAGTCTAGGAGAGATGCTGTCATTTTAAAAAGGAATGGTTGCACACCTTATAATTGAAGCTAGGTGAATGTGAATTCAAGCATTTACTCGAGTACAGCAAAATAAAAATACAGTCAACAGAAATTTGAAGCCCAAATAGACCTATCATAAGAAATTTCAAGAAAAATCTTTCCTGTGTAGACCAGCTCTTAGACACTTAAGAAGCATCACATTGGTGAGTAAAGGACATTAAGGAAAATCTGTATTAAAATTTTCTTTTGCACTTGTAAATTGAACTTATTTAAATCATTGCAAGTTCTGAAATCCCATAGACATACTGTATATGATTTTGTAAAATTGTTTGTTTATATATAACATAACATGTGCAGACACTTTTCTGAGTTACTTTACTCTTTCTTGTGGACCCAGTTTTGTGGGATAGTAAATCTGTGGACACACGGGCACTTCCTATGCTTGGTAAAGGGTTTAAGTTATTCTTGTTTCCTGATAAAACATCTTTCTGTTTTGCCTGATAAAAGGGAGGGAACAATGTGTTCCTAATCCCAAAATATGGTCCAGGGTAAAAGCGTGTTCTGTCATACTGCCTGGAAAGGTTATAGCATATTAGATTGAGATTTGACAACATCAGCTTGTTGCCTCAGAAGCTGAGACTCATTTGTTAAAAGGATGCCCATATCTCGGAGGCTGGGAGAAAGTGATTTATCTGCTTACTTGTAGAAGGTCTCCTTTAGCAAGGTGGCTGTAAACTGTTCAAAAAGGCCACAGGAGCAACAGAAACTCAGATCCTGATATTCAGACTGCATGTTCCTTTAAGCCTCAGCCAGTTATTTTTTTCAGGGTGGGTTTTTTGTTTGTTTAAGGTTTTTTGTGTGTGTTTGGTTTGGTTGGGGTTTTTGGGGGGCTTTTTTGTTTGTTTGTTTTTTGGGGCTTTTTTTTTTTTGTTGCTTTTTGCAGTGTGTTTTGTCAGCACTATGCTTCCACAGCCTAAGAACTAGTTTTGGAACTGGCCTGGAATAGACTATGTCACCCTTTTCCAAATGATGATATCTGGCCCTTTTAGCTGCAGTGCCACTTCTACTCTTCTTGAGTCATTTCATTGTAGGAATACTGTAGGAACAGCCTTTTGGTAGCTCAGAGGATCACTGTGTTCTTTGTGGTGATGTGATTTTGATAGAACAAGATCTTGATGCAGGCCAGGATCCAGCTTTTGCCACACACAGGGAGAAGCTGGTGGTAATATTTTTCTGAGCTTGTGATCTCAGTAGGCTGTCTTAGCTAGCAAACTCTTTGTCTCTTTTACTTCACTAGTTATCTTTTTCAAGAAAGAATTCTATTTAGCAGAAATAACCTACATTTTTTCAGAGTGTCTCAAGGACACCCATTAATAAAATCATGATGGAGCCTGTGGCTAACTGCTTATAAGGTTCCAATCTCTGGATTCTTTGTTGTCTAAAGCCCAGAGATCCTCCAAGTAATAGATTAGAGACAAAAAAAAAAAAAAAAAAAAAAAAAAAAAAGATAATTCTTTATCAACCTATTTTCTAAAGATCTGGACTTCCCCCAGTAAGAACTGAATGAGTAGAAAAAGCTGTTCAAGTTGTTTTCAAACATGGTATGATGTAGCACACTATCTGTGTTAGTAACATGAGGACATGATGACCTGTGACCAGAAATACAGAAGTAGCAGATGACCATTTATCACTCAAAGGAGGATGTAATTGAAACAATATTGCCTCAATCTGGTTTTCTCTCCCTTGTCTTACTCATGATCACAGAATGTCTGACTGCTTCTGGCTTTGTCATGTGGCAGAGCTCAGATGGTTTGTCACAGTCAGTTCTGGTGATTGTTGTGATATATTTCCCTTAATTTCCTTATTACCTGAGAACTCTCAGGAAGTTTAAGCAGGAGTTAGCTATCCCTGCAATGACAGTACTGGCCTTTTAGACAATTTTTAGACTTTTCTTCTGATACTTCTTTTGTGCAGCATTTGACACACTTGGCTTAAGATGAAAATGGAGTGCATTTGAATGTCAGTCAAATCCTGCATTAGGATCTGTGCAGTGTCCCATCTCCTGATGTGTGTTCTAGTCACATGATTTACTTACAAACACATTCAGGAGTTCAAAACTTCCTCATCTGCAATATTTTATCTGTAGGTACTTGCGTAGCAGTGAATGAAAACTTCAGCTTATATGTATGTACAACAACTGCATTTAAAAAAATAGTTCTGAAATTATAAACAGCTACTGAAATGCTGAGTTTTTCAAGGCCCTTTCTCAGAGATTTGACTATTGGTAGTTTTAGTTCATTGCTTCCCAGTATCTTCCCGATATCTATATCCTGTCATGTGACTGTAGGTAACTGCTTTTTTTTTTTCAAGTTAAGCAGGGTTAAACCCCCTGCCTCTTCTCTCCTGCCCCACTTCCCAAACACATTCAGGTATTTCATTGGAAGACTTACTAGACTGTTACTTGAATTAATTCACGAGCGCTTTGTTTTGCCATCTTCAATTGTGAGATTGTTGGCCAGGAAGGAAAAAATGACAGGTACTTAGGATACAAATAGCACTGATTTCTGGGATCAATGCCAAACTGGATAAATTTTTCAATGAAAGGTAGGATAGTAGGCTATAAAACAGACCACTTTCTGAAAAAATGCCAAGATGTCCTGTTGAAAATGTTTCTTTCCCCAAAGGTTTTTGAAGAGGCCAAGGAGCATTGGTTACAAGAGGTGGCATCAGGACCTATTGCTGCTATATGCTACTGTCGATTTTGTTTCTGAGGCTTCTCCCTGTGGACGTTGCCTTTGTGGGCTTGATAATTAATCCATGAGTCATTGAACAGCTGGAGGACTCCACTCCTCTTTTATAACTTATAAAAAAAAACCAACTCTTAAAAATCTTGTTGTCAGATACCATGTATATTTTACCATAAAGTTTTCTTTGACAGAGGTGGCAAATGTTTTCATTAGCCTTTTGCCTTACATCCATTAGATTGAATCATTAGGCTTAGCAGTGACTGACCTTGACTAGGGTAAGAGATAATTGCCAGTTTATTGCACTTTAACAAAATTAATGGATAACTGAAGAAGTGACTTTCTGCCTTTTTACAAACAAAAAACCCAAGTATTTAGTTGTTTTGTCTTTTGAATATTCAACTTATTATGCCATAATTAAAGGCTTTATCTACATTTATGACTGGCAGTGTTTGCATTTCTTCAGGAAGCTTGTTTGTGTATTCTGAAGACTTACCTTTTCAGTCAAACCTATTGCATGGTAGCACTGTAAATAACACTTTGAAATGTTATTTATGTGCTATTCAAAGTTGTTTCTTAAAGGTTGAGGTTAAAGGGTGATATGTTTATTTTTAGTGTCAGTAATACATTGGCCATATTGTTTGTAGTATCAATAATACATAATTATTAATCAATTAGAGTGAAAATTACATCTGGTCATTCAACCTTTCTTTGGTGAAAAATAATCCCATCCATACATTTTGTTTTATGACATTTTCCGACTGTAACATTAATATGAGATGTTAAGCATTTTTAGTTCTCAGTTGGTTACTATTAAAATGAGTGTATTGCATTGACTCAGAGGTGAGGAAACTGCAGAGTATCTTGATATCTGCAATGCATGTAGGGCAGCAGGACTTTTTCAGATGAGAATTTGTTATTACTAGTTTGGCATTGTAGGGGGTGGAGTTTTCATTGTTTTAACTCAGAACATTTCACAGCCATGTGATCAGGTAGTTGATGCAACAGAGAGTTGTTGGAATTGATCATAGGGGAATAGAGACTGTTCATTATTAATTGTTTTTATTCAGGGCTTTAGATCAGTTTTTTCGTTCTGTATTATTATAGTTGAAAAGGACTTACCACACCCACTATGCAGTGTTTGAAGCCATTTGTAGACCTAAATCCTCTTTTTCCTTGACTTTGTTTCTCAGACCACCAATTCTCCCTAGTCCTTCTCCTTCAAAATCCATTCCAATCCCACAGCCCCTCCGACCAGCAGATGAAGACCATCGGAATCAATTTGGGCAACGCGACCGATCCTCTTCAGCTCCCAATGTTCACATCAATACAATCGAGCCAGTCAATATTGATGTGAGTATTGCTGACCATTAGATCAAGAATAGTAGATGTGATGTGTTCCTTGTGAATGTCAGTGTGTTAAGTTCATTGTGTACACAATGTACACTATGTTTCTGAGATAATCCTCAATGATCTGCCATAATCTTCAAAGATCATTCATTTTTCATTTTTTTAATAGATTCTTTTTGCTGTTGAGAGCTGTAAGAACATAATCCATTCTCTGAAAGCAGAACTGCCTTTTGACAGTTCTGTCCTTTTGATTTTCAAAGAAACATTCTGCCCCAAACAACTGCCTTTTTTTTTTTTTCTGCCTTTAGTCCCACAGCTTATGCTGTTAGCATTCTGTGTTAAACACATTGTTGTGCAAGATAAAGACGTTTTAGTATTTGTATTCCATGTAATAATTTAGGCATTGAAGGAAACTTAAATAATTAAATTAAGCTTAGTTCACATATTCTGATATTCCCGAAGAGTTTAAGAGCCCAGTTTATGTTGTTCTGAGCATTCCTTGAGAATGTTCAGAAGCTGCTGCATTAAGGTTTTTTCCACAATTTTGAAATCTCTGGGTGGTGTAACTAATATAACTAATAATGATGGTTGGTATTAGCATAAGGACAGCTAGGACCTTTCAAGATGTTGCCTTTTGCTAACTTTGCTAACATACACAGTTTGTATTTTATCCTTAAATCTGCTGTCTAGAAATTAGTCATTTGTTGGGTGAGCAGTCTTGAAATCTGCCTGGACACTGAGGCACAAAATCAGTTTTGCATGTGAGCTGAGGGAAAGCTGAAATGTTAAGAGTGTGGCTATGTGGGTATTTGTATGTGGTATATGGCAGTGGTACAGCTGAGGCATAGCCAGTGCTTTTGGCAAAGCACAGGTGTGTAAGGAAACAAATATAATTATGGAACAAGAAGAGAATACAGAAAAAGCTTTATTATAAAAAAGGACATACAGAAGCAGACTGCTAGAATTTTCTCCTGTTTATAGAGTCCTTAGTGTAGTTTGCTTTTAGTCTGGACATGTTGCAAAAGATAGTTTCAGCTCACAGAGGATTGCAAGTGAAGAAAATCTTCTGCAGTTAGTAATTTCTGAGAAGAGCAATGTGCCTGGCTATGCAAATCAGGTGTATTGTTATGAGAAAAAACAAAGCAGGATTCATTTGACTCATGTACTTCAGTACAGAAAATTGATGTCCCAGGTTCTGATATGACAATTCAAACCATTTCTGCTACTGACAGCTGTGTTTTTAAATCAATATTTTCTTGTCAGCATCTCTTTTGAGTAGTGTACATTTCACTTTACTGCAGAGAGATGCTGTTTTAAAGCAACTTAATTTTGAGAAGTGTAGTAGTTGAGTCATTGCTATTAGTAAGTCAGGGTAGGAAACCACTTTTATTTCATGGGCAACATATGACACTATGAATTCATGAACTTATCAGTCTCAATTGATTCCAGAATGTAAATGTTAATACCTAAATTAAACACAGCTTTTAAATTTTTTTATAGGACTTGATTAGAGACCAGAGTTTACGAGGAGAGGGAGGTAAGTAGCATTTAAACTAACTACTGTGTTACTTTTAATTACACAACTGTTTTGTCTCTTCCTGCTACCCTACTTCCTTCTACAAAACACAGCCACAATGCAAAATATGACTAGAACAAAAAAGTGAATTTACATTTGCTTGTCCATGAACTTAGTACTTGTTTCATGAAGATTTGAGTCATTTGCTGGTCATTCTGGGAGTGGGGGAGACGGAAGGAGAAAAAGTTTTGAAGTAGTATCTAGTTTTTTTTAGTTTTAAATTACTTTTTTACTCTTTCTCTCAACCCACCCACCCACACACACACACTTATTCACTCACATGGCTGCACACAGATACACAACTTCCCAAAGGTTTTTATGCCTGTTGTTACCTTTTCACACATGGAAACAACAGGGGTTTTGAATGAAAACCATCATGGTAGATGGGCCTTCCATAGGAACTGCTGCATCCTAAAGCAGCTTGAAATACTCCAGTTCTTCTCCCCCTCTACCCCTGCTGAAGTTGCTGCTTTGCTGTACTGCATGCCTGTGCTACTCTTGGAAGCAGATTATTAGGATTTTACACTAAAGCCAGGTCTTTTTATGTTTCCTTCAGTAACTGCCCTAATTCACAGTTAAGTCAGAATTAGTGCCAGAGGGTTTATTTTTCTTCATGTGTTGTGCATGGGCCTCTTAAGTTATTTCTCCCACTGGTTGTCAAGGTCCTGAAGAGGGTTTCTTATGTGCTGTATTTATTCCTATGAATATAAGAATAAAGCAGAAATATTGAAAACGGAGAAATACTAAGTAGGGCGGGCATATGACAGTTTTTCCAACACCAAATCAGTAACACAATTGTCTTCTACTGATTATAACTTGCTTCAGCCATAAGTATGGGTCTGAATTACCATAGTGCACCCTTTCCTGATCTCAAAGGTTTTGTGCTCTCGACTTTCACTCACTTTGTTTCTCCCATGCAAATCTGGTATTTGGTAGGATGTGTTGTGTTTGATGGAGCTGTCTTTAATAATGCCAGCAATAGGCACTTTAAAGAAAGAAATTTCCTTTAGCCCTGCAAGTTGCTAATTGCAAATTGCCAGTTTAAGCTGTTTTTGTATGTGTTGATAGGTGTGGCTCTCCAGAGTTTTGCCCATTTTGTTCAACATTTAAATGTTGTGCGATCATGTTGGTTTTAACTTTTGATCATAAACCGTCTGCTTGGCATCTGAAAACAATTGGCTATTTCCAGTCCTGAAAGAGTGCTCTTGGGAATTGACTTTTTTTCCTTCGAAGTACAGAAGAAATCTATAATTAGGAGTCAAAGCATCCTAGTTATTTCCCATGACTTCTTTCATTTCTTCTATGTGTCTGTCTTTCTGTCTCTGCCTGCCCGTCTCTTTCTCTCTAACAGCCCCTTTGAACCAGCTGATGCGCTGTCTTCGGAAATACCAATCCCGGACTCCCAGTCCCCTCCTTCATTCTGTCCCCAGTGAAATAGTGTTTGATTTTGAGCCTGGCCCAGTGTTCAGAGGTAGTTGGGCTCTTCTTTCTTGTTTTCACCCAAACAAAATAAGTAAAACCACAGATGCTGTTTGTGCCTCACTCTCACACCGTGTGTATGTAAGTGTGTGAGTTTATCAAAACACCTCTGTTTTTTGCTTGGCCTGGCTGGAATGCTTTGAATGTGCTTTTCACACATACTCACTTTCACTTTTACACGCTTGCAAATGATTATAAATGAAGTCTGACTTAAATCTCCAAAAGCAAGGAATTTCATAGTTGAGGTTTTTCTGTGAACCTTAACCTAATCTTTCTAAACAAAGTGCACTGGATTGCATTGCAGTGATTTTAAATATGAAATTGTGTCCTTAACTTAGAATTTCCTTGACTGTTCAGTTTAAGTCAGTTCAGTGCTATAACAGTCGTCTGTATTTAATATTCTCTGTTTTGAAAAGTGATGTAGGAAATCAAATGTGAATTACAAACATTTCCATTGATATCTTGTTAGGTCTCAAACTTTTCAAGTAATGTGTCATGTCAGCTTTCAACAAATACTTCGTTTTGACAGTGTGCTAGTGACACCACATCGGGGCTCTGGATGGTTTTAGTAGTTTTTATTTAGTTAGTAAATTTGACTGAAACATCATTTCTGTCCCATACTATGTAAAATAAGACACTCTAGATTTTCATGTCATTGGCCGTGGGGGTAATTCAGGCCTTGAGCTGTCAATGGATCTGTTGTATTGCACAAAATCCCAAAAAAACTCTGGGATTTCGTATGCTGGAGAAACCAACTACTGAGTAATAGCATGAAATGTTCATACTTGTGTCTCTACATAATACGTGTAGAAATGGTTAGTTCAGTGCATGTAGTGTGGTTTTCAAATGCTACCATCTTGGCTGTTTCAAAGACTCTTGTTTCAGAATATATCAAGAACAGTTCACCTTTTGAACTTGTAAAGATCTTCCAGAAGTCTTTGCAAGAAGACAGGTGCTCCCAACAAGCAAACTGGCTGCAGAATGAAATCTGTTACGTACTGCTTCAGAGTCCAAGCTATTGACTTAAATCCAGCATTATCTGAAGTATTCTACTCTTAATAACTTGAAAACAGGCCATCTGGTATTATTATGAACAGATTAACTACAGTGTTCTGCCATGTGCAGGAAGCACTTTTGGTGAAGGGTGAATATTGTACTAGTGTTCCCATATTGTGGTATTAAAATTTAAATAGAAGATTTTGGTCAAAGAAAATGTATCCCAGATCTTTGCTATTGCAGAGGAAATCTGTAACCCAGTAAACTTTTAGAAAATTGCTCATGTTCTGGGAACATCATACATTTGATTCTATGTATGTTTGATTTCAGATGAATCGTATAATAAATAAATGACGATGTCATGGCCATAACATGAACATAAATCCATCCTTCAGGTCACTGGCTTCCAGCTGCTTATAAATTTAGTTAGGATGCACAATATACATCATTATTCTTTCTTTAGTATGTGGGACAGTTTACAGATGCTGTTTACACAGCATCTGTATCTGTTGGTATGTAATTTTGTGCATCCACTTTCAAGTGCATAGATTTTTGCTTAGTGAGTCCAGTGATGGATACATATAGTCTGAATAAATTAGCATGCACTGAGTGACTGAACTTAAGCAGCAGTTTAAAAAGTCACCAAGTCCTAGTTGCTATTAGGAGACACTTTTTGCTTAAGAGGGGAGCTTCTAAGAGAATATGAGGAGTATTGTCTTCCACCACTTCCCAGAGCACTGATGTGAGAGAAGGCAGTGGAATGTTAGAGGTCTTGTTCAATGACATACATTGTTTAGCAAAGCAGCATGAATTTAATTAACAGTTGACCCTATTTTATGTCCTTTGCATTGGAAGGGTCAGCATAACCTTGTTAGGAATAATTGTGATGTATTTTAAAAAGCAGTGTCTAGGTGAAGTGCTCTATTTGAAAAGGGCCACTGGGGCTCTGAAAGAGCTCTCTTAGTAACATTTTCCTGCATAGATTTGTTTAGATAACCTACAGGCTACAGACATACTGTTCTTTTTGTGTTTCCTAGAATATGCTTCAAATAGCTAACTAAAGTACTTGTGCTTTTTTAATACTTTCTAAAGTCTAATATTTATTTTTAAATAATAGTTCTCTGCTAACAGATAGCTTTAAAACAGCCAAATGATTTTCAGGTGGCACTTGGAGACTCAACCGGAAAACATTTCAATTATTTACATTTAGTCTATTTTGATTCCAAAGTACAATAGTTCAGCTATTTGTTGGGTTCCTAAAAGCTTAGCTACAAGAAGTATCAGAGGTAGATGGTGCTAACTAAAATGCTACTGTTCTTCTCAAAGAAAGTGATGCCATTTTAAAAATACATCCTAAAGTATTTTTTTCTTTCTTAAAAAGACATTGTCCTTTTGTTAATTCATGAATAAGAGACTGGAGAATATCTATACAGGGATGTTTGCTATAGATTTGTCTCTTCCTGAAATCTGAGACATGAGCACTAATGTAATATTAGGACAATATTCCTGTATATGTTTGTTCTCTCTTAACATTCACATTGATGTTTAGAGATACTGCATCTTAAACACAATTCTTGCACCTAATGTCAATACATTCATGTAAGGTGGATTCTTACAGATAAAACTATCCTGTTTCTGAAATTTAGGCTCAGCTGCAGGCTTGTCTGCAACACCTCCTGCTTCTTTGCCCGGGTCACTAACCAATGTGAAAGCGTTACAGAAATCACCAGGACCCCAACGGGAAAGGAAATCATCCTCATCCTCAGAAGACAGAAATCGAATGGTAAGGGAAAGATCAGCTGTTTTCTTTTGTAGAAATATTACACAAGCATCTTCCTCTCACTTTTCTTTCATCCAAGTTCTATAAATTATTTTGAAGATGAATATGGCAATGATCAAGGACTTGAAACTGATAAATAATAGAGTGGGATAATCCACTTTAAGCCCATAAATAATTGTGGGACTGATATATAAATAATTTAAATAATTCACTAAACTCACTTTTACTAGTGTGACTCATTGTAATGCCACTTTCCCTTCATGTAACAGCTTAAATTTTCCCACCATGATGCATAAACTTTGAAAGTAACAAATGTAACAAATTTTATGTAACAATACATGAAAACATAAAAACATCCACTTTTTAAAAAATTCACAGTTTAGTATTATGACTAACAATTTAAAATCAAGTACTACTTTCTTTTTGGTAAGCCTTTCTTAATATTTTCGGATTTTAACACTGGCAGAAAGCTGTTGCAAATGTTTCATGCCGGGTAATAATTTGGCATACCTGTGTCCTGAGGTTTTGTGTAGGGCTAAGTTTAGAAGTCAAAAATCAACATGTGAAAAAGAACATTTTATCAGGACATTATTGATGGTGAGAAATTTTTAACAAATGAGCTGTTTTCAGAGACATTAATGCACTTGTTTTCTTCCTTTTTATTGTTTTTGCACATATATGAAGAAAACTCTTGGTCGACGGGATTCAAGTGATGATTGGGAGATACCAGATGGACAGATCACAGTTGGACAAAGGATAGGGTCTGGATCATTTGGAACAGTCTACAAAGGAAAGTGGCATGGTATGTGGCCATGATGAACAGTCTAACAGCTGTTCTTGAGGAGGTCACAGTGCCTGCCAGGGCACACCCAGCTGGACAGCAGCTTCCCAGAAACACACCTGGGATTCTGGTGGGCACCACACTGAGCCAGCAGTGTGCCCATGCCACAGAGAGGGAGATGGCCTCCTGGGCTGCACTAGGCATTGCCAGCAGGTTAAGGGAGGCAGGGGTTAGGGGTTAAGGGAGGCAATCCTTGTCCTCAGCACTGGTGATGCCACACCTGGAATGCTGGATCCAGTTCTGGTCTCCTCGGAGCAAGAGAGATGTGAACATAATGAGGAGACTGCAGTGAAGGGCAGTAAATAAGAGTTTTAAATTAATAAGTAGTATGCTAAATAATACTTTCATATTGCTTAGAAACTCAACTCTTACATGTTGTTCTGAACTGAGAAATTATTAGGGTAAAGATGAAACTTCAGAAAGGCAGAAATATGCATCTTGATGAATGAGGATTTCAAACGTGTGTTTTTAATAGCTTTGGCCTGGCTATGATTTCTCAGTAAAGTAAGAATAGTATTGCTACATTTTACTGAATATTGACTTACTTTAAAATTGTAGTGATTTATTTCATGTAAGCTAAAAAAAAGTGTATCCCAAAATTTCTGATGCCCTGTACAACATTCTCTCAAGAGAGGAATATGTATCAATGGTACTTACTAAAAATTGCTGTTTTAAAGGTGATGTGGCAGTGAAAATGTTGAATGTTACGGCACCCACACCTCAACAGTTACAGGCTTTCAAAAATGAAGTAGGAGTGCTCAGGTAAGAATATTTTTAATGGCATGAAATAATGTGTGTAGATTTGTGCTTCATTAATCACTGAATTTTTAGATCTCCATTGGAACACATTGGTCTCACTCCTATGTGATGATACCTCAGGCAGAAAAAATTAATATTTAAAAATATTTCCTTGTAACCACTGTGTGTTTGTCTGCACACCTATGTTGTCAGTACATATATGTCCAAACACTCAGAACTAGTTTTTGCCAATGACCTGTCCCCAGGGCTCAGTCAAGCCTAAGAGTGAGTTGTAGGCCTTTCTTTCCTCTATTCACATTTTGCAATTGAAGGAGAACATGACTGATGGTTGGTTTTTCAGCTACAGTCCTGCCCATATTTTCTGCTGTTTAATAGTTTCTGTTCAGTAACATTAATTTCTCTGAGGTTTTTTTTTTAATGTAATTCTTATAAAGTAATTTCATAATTTCCTTTTCTCATGTCTGCTGCTTCTAGTATCTCAGAGGAGGTATTTGTTTTGAGTTCAGCTCTTAAAGATCCGTCAGCATGACGTGATAGAATATATATTTTGAAGAAACATTACATCAAAATACAATCTGGAGCAGTGATGAGCATAATTGTGTTTTAAGAAACAAAATAGCAAGAAGTTTTTTGTCCCTGGAAACCTGATGGGTTGAGCTGGGAACCTGTGCTGTGGAAGCATCCCAAATAAGCTACGAGGAGAAAGGGAATGGTCAGCCTTTTACCCTAGGAAAATGTTAATTCCAAAAACTCTAAGCTCATAATTGTGGAAGTAGAGTCTTTCTGAGGTGTGCTGTTTTGGGTATCTCTTAATTTTCTTGACAGAATTTTGACAGAACTGAGTGAAATCAAACATCTTGGTCCAGCTTTCTGCTGGTAGTCCCTTCGATGAAGCCCAGCCTGTTTGATACAAAGTCACTTGTTCTATCCTTTGACCAGACAAGGCAGATTTACCTATAGTTGTGCTTTCTCCATTAGGATTCATCATTACTTAGCTTTATGGTAGGATTTGCAAGAAACTTCTTGTTTTTTGTTTCTTCAGCAGTTACTCTCAGCATCACTTGACAAATTCTTGAACCTGAAAAAGGCACAGTCACATAGCACAGAACTGTCCTAGTCCACATTGCTGCAAGGACAAAGGCTCACACACTGGCATCCCACGTTAATTTTTTAATAAAAGAAAACATAAAAGAGCTCTGACATTTTTCAGTTACCCCAAAGTAGTTATTCCATGTTAGTATGATAAGCAGGGCTAACTTCAAGAATAATTCATTAAATGAATCTAGCAAGAGGTTATCATAGGAAAAGTTGAGATTGACCCAACACCTTCTGTTTGGAAATATATATGCAGACTGTGATAGATCTGCCTGGGTTTTCCTGATTTCTTGATCTGATTTCCTCCTGATTCTTATGTTTTTATAAACAGGAAAACACGACATGTGAATATCTTGCTTTTCATGGGTTATTCAACAAAACCCCAGTTGGCTATTGTTACACAGTGGTGTGAAGGGTCCAGTTTGTATCACCATCTACACATCATTGAGACCAAATTTGAAATGATCAAACTAATTGATATTGCACGACAGACTGCACAAGGCATGGAGTAAGTATTGAATTACTTGTCTGCAAATGAGCACTGGGGCAATGTTTACTTATCCCCTTAACACTTTGGCTGACATTGGCAAATAAGGCCAGCTCTCTGCTCACTTTGCTGAGCCCAGGGTCCTGTCTCAATCATCAAGGCATTTGGTGAAAGTATCAGAGCTCTCTGAATAACAGGTTTCAACATCTGAAGAGAACATCCCTATTTTGTTCTAAGGATTGTAAATAATCCTTACTCCCATAGAGGGCCATCGAGTTAGAATTGACCAAAACTAGCCAAATATTACATGTCAAAATGAGAACACTGCTGTAAGAACAGAGAAATTGCACTTAAGCTGAAAAACCACTATGATGATTGCAGTTCATTGTGCTATTTTTCTACTCAGTATTCCATTACATTTTCAGTCAAGAGGCGTGGAGATGTTTGCAGCAACCAGCCTTAGCCTTCTGTTAGCCTGTGCATCTCCCCAGGCTCCATCTGTAGGTAGGGGAGATGCAGAAGCTGTTTTGTGAACACGATTCAAAGCAGAGACACAAATTGGGGCTTTTCCAGCAGTTTTGTGCCAATCTCATTGACTAAACAAAGAGCCATGGGAAACTAATTCAGGCTGTATCTGCTGTGGGGCAAGTACTTTCCTCTGTGTTCCCTGCCATCTGTTTATCCAGGCTGCAATCAGGGGATCTTTTTTCCACTCCTCTACTAAAAAGCAGTCAGTGTACCCGAGTACACATTGAGACTGGGAAGCACATTTAGCTCCTGCAATTTAGAAACACCTTATCTAAAGCTGTGACTAGCTCACAAAATCTTGACAGTCCCCATTAAGGCTGGGAGGCAGAAATTTCAGCATGAAAAAAATAAGTGAAGTTCTTTTTACTGTGAATATTGAATTAGAATTGAAAAGCAGAATTTGGAGCATAATTGTTATTCAGCAGTAGCATCAGATTTGAGCTGGAAGTCTAAGCTTTATTTTATTTTTTCCTGTGAATGTTGCAGAAGCTGTCATGGGTAGCTGAAGTTTTACTGCCTGCATAAATGTGCAGTTTGAATGTCAACAGAATTTGTTTCAGTAGTACAGTGAATTTTGAGTTGTTGATTGATGAAGTATTATCTAACCCACCTAATCTGTGATATTCCTTTTCAGTTATTTGCATGCCAAGTCAATCATCCACAGAGACCTCAAGAGTAATAGTATCCTTTCCCAGAGATTTTGGAAAGTGAAAGCATTCCTTGGTTTTTGGTTTTGGTTTTTTACTGCCAGAAGTTAACTTACTGATGTGAAAAGCTGTTGGTGTGTGAATATTTGCCAAATAGAAGTTTCACTGAGAAGGGGTAATATCACTAATAACAAAATAGGAGGTGCTTACTATGTCTTTTGATTCAATTGCAATAACATAGGGAATTTTAGTTGGTATCACAAAGATTTTTTTGCATCCTTTGGTTTCTTCCTGTAATGAAAGATTTTGTGAGTTGGCTCACGGAACATTTTCAGCTTTTCTTGTACTTGGCACTTCATGAAAGCCACCTGGCCATGGTCTGTTCTGCACCACTGGCCCAGTCATTACTTACATAACCCTTAGATACCATAATTCACCGTGCTGGCTGCTTAAAACCTGTGTCATGTGGAAACCTTCTTCAGTGATGCTGAATGGTTAAAACTGTCATGTTCATGTTGTATATTTGTAGCTGTTCATTGTTCTTTTAAGACAGGGCCAGCACTGCTTGTCTGTTTTCCCTTAACATTCCCCCCTTAGATATTTTTCTTCATGAAGACCTCACAGTAAAAATAGGTGATTTTGGTCTAGCTACAGTGAAATCACGATGGAGTGGATCCCAACAGTTTGAACAGTTGTCTGGTTCCATTCTATGGATGGTAAGCAAGGGGGAAGTGGTGAGCTTGTTTCAACAAATTTATTTACCTTTGGCCAAACCCTGCTCCTCTCCCTCTGGCACACTGACATAAGCATAACGTAATAACATAAAAGTTGGCTTAAGCTGGAAAAGACAAGCAGTAATACGAAGTAGTAAGTGAATGATTTTCAATTCTTCTTTAAGCATGTGTTTTCCAGTAGTCAGCAGAAAAACTTCAGTGTCTCCATCTTTTATTTGAGGTTTATACTGAAGTGAAAGTAGTGGCTAAGGAAAATGAATCATTAATGAATTATTATCATTAATGAATTATGTATCATTAATCTAAAGTTGAGGAGAAGGTGAGAAAAGCCTTGCAAAACATCCTGCAAAAGAGTAGAGGAACTAGCTCAGCAAAAAGTAAGATGCTCTTAAGTTTTAAGGATTCAAGAAGAGTTGCTTCATACTGCAATCTCCTGTGCAGCTCCACTTTCTCTTTTTCTCCCTGGATAAACTTAAAGCTCTGTTAGCTGGCATTACTTTCAGTGTCATTAGAATTCTAGTTTCTAAATATGTTCTCAGCCTGGCCAAGGTAATTTTGCTCTGTCATAGAGGAATAAAAGGGATCACCAAGCTGAAATGAAGCAATGAATTTTGAGATTCATGTCAGCATCCACTCTGTATTAGGACCCAGTAACGCCTGAAGGCAAGAGTGGACCTTGCACCTGTACCCTGGACAAGTGCATGTTTTGTTCCTGGTAGGTGAGGTGCAGCACAATGGAGAGAAATAAAAGCTAATTCTTGCCTTTTCTGATACAGGCACCAGAAGTTATTCGGATGCAAGATAAAAACCCATATAGTTTTCAGTCAGATGTGTATGCATTTGGGATTGTTCTCTATGAATTGATGACTGGACAATTGCCATACTCCAACATCAACAACAGGGACCAGGTAAGGGGAAACGCTGACTTCAGTCAAGTGTGGTCTGAAACAGAGATTGGTTCAGACTTGGGTGGTCAACTTTCTGATGTTCTGTGTGTTTGAAGTTTCTGATTCTCATGCTGTGAGATGACATTTCTGCATTTTCTAGAACTGCCTCAGCCACATAGCCACAATTTACTTAATTATTTTGAGGTATTTTTTGTGTTCTTTTTAATTCAAATATAGATTTTCAGCTTCCTGACTGGTTGCCAGGATACTTATTAGGGAGAGAGCAGATTACTTAATAGTAATCTAGTTTAGAATAGTTCTGCAAAGGCAGAATGATCCCCCATATGTGTGTTCAGTTATTCTCATTCTCCCCACCCCTCCACTTGCAGTGAATAACAAATAGTGCAGCTACAGGACTGACAAAACAGAAGAGCAGTCATTTTACCAAGTGTTTTATATTCATTTCAACTTCGAGAGAGCATGCACCGTCTAACTGAATTGCAGGATATCAGCATTTCTCAAATCCTGCTTGTTGGACAATGTAACTTCCCAGAGTCTGGGGATCCTATAAGATTACTTAATTGTGAACAAATATTCCATAAGTCTTAATGATCCCACACGCCATAATACATCTCGATGGGATAGGCATGTTTGGGAAGGCATACCTGATTCATTATTTCTGTCTAACCTGAAAATAGCATCTGTGCATCAAGATCTTTGGTGTAAACTATTCTCTGTCTGAGCAGTGATGTATTTGTTGCTTCTGTGTCCTCATCCCTTGTTTTTTCACTGTCAGTACTTGAGAACTGAAACCATAGCAACGTTCATCTGTGAATGCCATTTTATAAGGCTGCTTCCCTATCTGCCAGAACACTTCATCCCAATTCATCAAATTTGGAGTGACTCCTTTTTAGTTTTCTTTTTCTTTTTTATAATTTTGGTTTTGCCTTTAATGTCTGGATTCCTGGCCAGATGGATCCAGCCTTCTAAAAACAGTATTTGGCCTTGTTTAGCTTTTACCTTTTGAGAGCTGAAAGGTGAACCCAGTGATGTGGGTGCTTACAGTGAAGTGCCGAAACAAATTTTAAAATGTAGGTGAAGCCAACATATGTGATCTGATGTCTTGAGTTTTGTCGCTCCATGTCTATTGTATGAAAAGTTGCAAATATTCCTCACTCTCTGATGCATTTACATCAGCTACTATGACACAACCAAGATTCTTAGTGAACAAAGTGTAATTCTTGTTATACCTCAGAGTGTTTCTCTCACTTCAACAGATTTTTCTAGACTGGTCTTGTAGTGATACTCTTTTCTCTAGTCTAAAATAAAAGATTAGCCCATATATTATTTGTAAAGAAACTATTTGAAACATAAAGAGTAATGAATTTTGAATAATTTCAACTTGTGCCATTATTTAGAAAATACCAACTGCTAGATAATGGGAAGTCTGATTGCAGCAGAGGTAAGGGATGCAGTACACAAGTGTCTACTACAAAATCCTGCTTGGCACTTGAGGATTTCTAAAGGAACCATATGGGAGTTCTCTGTTCTTCCGTGATGCCAACACAGATGTGACTGAAGCAGAGTTAAAAAAGGACTAGGACTGTGTTAGTATAAATAACATGTGTAGCATGCTTGAGATGTGAGGGTTTTCTGTTGCGGATTTTTTTTTTCCCCCCAGTGTCGAGACGTGAAGTAGTTACACTTCATTAGAGAGAAGGTGTGATAAACCTGCTGGGTTGTCTGAGTTCTCAGCAAAGGCAGTGATTACTGCTGCAGTATGAATGAATCTTTGATTAGCTGGTTTGGAAGTGCTTTTTAGTGTTAGTGCTACTGCAGTACTCAAACCACGTTGCAAATGACCTTGGCTTGACATGATGATGTTTGATGGTTTTTTATATATACAAAGATGATTAACCATATTTATGTTTTGTTTTTCTGCTTCCTGTCAGTTTACTTGGTTTTATGCTGAAGTTTTATCCTTAGGGAAATATAAGCCTCCCATTTTGAAAGAATTACTGTAAAAATACCAAGCCTGTCTCCTCTTCTACAGAGAAGAGGGAGTTTCTCTTTTTCTTTTGAGGTGCTTTTTTTCTTTTTTTTTTTTTTTTCTTATTTTTTTTTGTGAGAGTGGGGGAGGTGGTCAGATGTCAAGAATAAGCTTATGTGTTGGAAAAGTATGTGACGGAATCAATTCTCAGAAAAGGTTTTTAATATCCAAAGTCCATGTGTTTCTTAAAATACCTTTCAATGTGAAGTTGTTGTTGATTTGTAATATAAAACAGAATATTTCTTTTTACAGATTATTTATTTTTAGACATTCTGTTCCTGCCACAGAGTTGCTTGTTCTTGTTTTTGTCAGTTTTTGACACCGAAGAACTGTTCCTTAGATGGTTATTGCTATAAATGGTAACCATTTACTAGTGTTCAAGTTCCACAGAAATCTCTCTGAGGAGGAGGAGAGATCTAATTTTCTCTCTGTACTGAATAGGTTAACAAGCATTGCTCTAAGAAATTTGTCAATTTCAATACCAGATAATGTTTCCTGGGAGCAGATATCTTGTTGCTGCAACCAAAATAGTCTAGCAAAATGTTCACCTTTTGTGACTGTTTATTTTATCAATTCAGCTTCTTCCTCTTCCATCTTTTTTTCCCCTTAAATAAAGATAATTTTCATGGTGGGACGAGGATACCTATCTCCAGACCTCAGCAAAGTACGGAGCAACTGTCCCAAAGCTATGAAGAGACTAATGGCAGAATGCTTAAAAAAGAAAAGAGATGAGAGACCCCTTTTTCCACAGGTGAGAAGTGCTTCTCTTTAGCTCTCAACAGACTTTACAATTAAAAGTTGTGAACTCACTGGCCAGTTCCAAATTTTTTTTTATTAGTGCTATGGCAGGGTTTCATAAGAGACCTGGTTCAATACCTGGTTAGTTCTGTTTAATTAGAAATGCTCATTTCAATTTCAAAACACAGGTATTAAAATGACCTGTGTATTTGGACAAGTATTTACATACTGGAGAAAGTTTCAGCTGGGAGATAATGAAAGTAATAGTTACAGTTAGACATGCGAATTAGTACTTGGTATATGTACTCAGAAATGTTTACACTGCCCTCCTTGCTCTCCCCCAAGTTTCATGATGGTAAACAGACAGTGTTGCCACAGAGCTCGATTTTTATCATGCCTGCTGAGGAAGGTTTGGGTTCAAAAAGCTTGAGGGGGAGGAAGGCAAAAATCTGATATTTTTTTTTTTTCCCTGTTTTGAATGTAACCAAATCGTTTTCAAAGGATAAGGAGCTCCCCCTGCTGACTTTTTGGTAAATGTTATTAAGGAAAACGCTGGCAGATCTGGGTTTGTTTGCAGCAATGGCAGGTACAGGTACTACAGCATAGACAAGGAGTCCAATAAAAAGCAAGTGTTTTCACTGTGCTTAGAGGGAATCAGTGTGCCTTTAAAAAGGGGAAAATTCCCCCACTGTCATTTTTCAGCTTCCTTAGCATATAAAAATTAAGAGCGCAGTGCAGTAAACTATATTTTTAAAATCTTTCTTTTAATATGTGTTTAAATATTTTTCTGTCATTAATTGATATTGAGCCTTTAGTTTTAAGAGAGAGTCACAGCTTTGGAACAGGAGGTTTGACCATGTATTTTCTATGTTTTAGATTCTTGCCTCCATTGAGCTTCTGGCCCGGTCATTGCCAAAAATTCACCGCAGTGCATCTGAGCCCTCGTTGAACCGGGCTGGCTTCCAGACAGAGGATTTTAGTCTATATGCTTGTGCTTCTCCAAAAACACCCATCCAAGCAGGGGGATACGGTGGGTTTCCAGTGCACTGAACCAAAATGTGAAAGCATGTGCCTGTGTGTCTGTGTGCTGGTGTGTCCTGTGAATGCAAGGTGTTTGTTCTCAGTTCCTACCAGCTCCGATCGTAAGGTTTACTGAGGGAACAAAGACTCACTTCCTAACACCGGCATTGAGTGTTCCCAGCACAGAGTCTGTGTTGCTAACTAGTGCCCTGGGAACAGCTGGCACAAGAAGTGTAATGTCACATAAGAGAGATGGGAAAGCAACTTCAAAACAAGCAAAAATCTTCTTAAGGTCATCGGGTGTCATTTTTGCCTAGTTTATTGATGGGAATTAGTTACTCAGGAGTACATTTGATTTGAATCTACTCAAGCTGTGGTTGTCTGTTGTTTTGGGGGCTTTGTGGGTTTTTTTACTTCATTTAAGGTCATTATATTTGAGCAAGAAGCTTTAGATTCTTCATTTAGTTAGGCTATTCATGTGGGAAACATTTGGAAAGATAAACTTAGATTCAAGGCTGAACACAGTCAAAACTTTATTGTGGTCAGCAGAAGTAAGCAGATACAACACAGAATCCAAAGAAAGCCCTGAATAACATGTGACTCTTATCTTGAAAGTGGAAGTTTAAATTAGTACTGTTTAGGGAACATTTCTCCTACAGAAGAGTGGTGAATGGGTTTTTTTGTTACATTTTTCTCGAAATATTCTGACCTGATACAGTTTACACCATTTTGAAGTGGTCTGTTACAATGCAACCCGGAAGAAATTCTGAATGTGCTTTTGCCAAGCTACAAGGCTATTACTGGTAATGGTGCCTGTATCCTTCAGTTAGTACAGATTTCAACATATATAAAAGCATTTTAAATCTCAAGCAGGACCAAGTGCTTTAAAAGGACAAATGCTGCTAACACCCGTAGTAGGAAAAGAAGATTTGAAAAAGCAGTTTTGTTCATGAAAATCAGTGTTATACTACAAATTTTGTTAAGATGAAAAGTGTTAATTACTTTAATATTGTTAAGGGTACACTGAACATGCTTCTCTTCGGTGACAAATTGATTTTTCCACTTCCATGGAAAAGCTGCTAGTTTGACTAGGCAGAAATGAATCAGTTGGAATAGATATCTAACTGAGAAAGTTAGACACCTTACCAAAATCCTCCTCACTTCGGAGACTGGTTTTCTCTAGAGCGTTTCTCTAGAACAAGTGCATCAGAGTAGTGGTTTAGGTTATATCAATCTTTAATGTCAGATATGAAAAAAAAATGTACAGACAGTGTTCTTGTATGTTTTGAGATGAGTTATGTGGTTTTACTTGGTTTAAACTGCTGAACTGTTAATTTTCACAGATTACTCTGCATTGGAAACATGCTGCTGCTGCTGTTGTTAGGACTTCAAGGCCCAGGGGTGTTCCTAGTGGCTTGTGATTTATATACTCACGGAGAAGTTTGCCTGTTGCTAGCAATACATTTTTGAAATAGATCAGGAATTCCAAAATGTTTTGGTTTACTGCTGTCTGGCAACTGAGCCTTTTAAAATGGGAAGCAGATGTAGGGAGCTTGAAGAAATATAGGCAATTTTTACATTTTCTGTATGGATTATAATGGTCTTTTTGGCTTCTGCTGTTGGAATAGTTTGGGAACTAACTTTTCTCCTTTTCTTAGTCAAGAAAATTTAGCTGTTGAAATCTCTCTCTATGGAAATAGTTACAGAGGACAAAATTGTTACTGTTTTATAAAATCAGTTTCCCATCTTCCTGGTAGCTTCACCTCATTTTGGCAGGCTTATCTTAAAATGAAAACAGGACTGAAGTGTTGTTTTCCTCTTTCATTCTTTATTTTATGTATCTGTTCTAGCAGTGATGAGCAATGTTTCCAAAGCTGTGGGGTGTGGTATTCAGGACAGAGCAAAAGGATGCTACTGGGTCTCCTGCAGAATCTAGAAATGGGGCATCCCACACAGGGAGTTGCCGAGAGTGCGGAACCATCCATCCCCATTGCCCTGCCCAGGCTTATTCTTGTTCAGGTCTGCCAGATCAGTTCAAACCAGTTATTCCTTGGAGTAGTGTTATCCTTCTTGTTGTTAGATTGTTCATCTGTGCTCTCAGAGCTACAATTATGGGGGGAAAGTGCTGCTCTCCTTAGACACATTTGGCCCCATTTCGTGCTGTATGGTCAGTGCATTCTTCCTGTGTCACCTGTTCTTACTGAGCATTTTGGGTTCCATGACCATAATGTGATTTTAGCTTCTCACTAAACATTTTATGAAGCCTAAAAGGAGGCTGTTTTGTGGATCATTAACTTTATCTGACAGAGAGGTATTTAGAGGTCTCATTTCTCTAATTGCTGCTTCAATGAGATTTGGGAGTATCTGTGGGATGAAGGTGCCTAACTACACTTGTGGATTTGGGTCAGAGTTCTCAAAGGTGTAATTCAGCTATATTGTTTAGAAACAGGTATCTGTTGGTTCAGAAAACATGCCTGTAGGATCCTAGGTTTTTCTGGAGGAGTAATTTATACTAGGTGAGATTCCTTTTTATTTTACTTCCTTACATATCAATACAGAAACAAAGTCTGTCTTGGTACCTTCAACATGTTCCAAATTTTTACTTACCCACTGGATAGTATCCGTACAAAAGATCAGCACAAGATCCAACAGAAAACTACCTCCTTTTTTTTTTTTCCCCTGTGTCTGTGAATGTAAACCAGACATGGTGTTGGAATCTGGTGTTTGCCAATGATAAATCAGTCAGTCTCTAGTTCAGTAGCTAAGGCTGGCACAGCCTGAAGGGGAACCATTCTTCTCCTTATGATTCTTCTGAGAAATATGGCATCTATCCCAGGATAAGGAGTACAGTTAAGATGATGTGTGTACACCTTAGTAACCCCATGAATTCAGGTAGCTTACAAATTTGTGAGAGTACAGAATGGTAGCTGCATCTTAAATCCTTCCAGGAATTGGGGGTAGCAGGTTTACTCAGAACATGCTCTTGTAATACATTGTTTGGAGGCAGCATGAAAGACCTTGATCATCTTTTCAGTACAGATTTTTTGAAAGTGTGTATTTAAAATGGTTTTCACTTGCTCTGCATGAGACAAGCCTGAAAAGACTGTACTAGTTGATTTGAAAGGGGTTTGTAAGAAGTATATATTTTCAGATGCTATCCATCCTTTGGAAAGAAATTGCTTTGCTACCAGACAAAGCAAATATCTGCAGTTCTGCTTGATAAAATGCACCTCAGATGTCTGGCTCACAATGAATATAAATATCTGGGGATCTTTTTGATATGAAGTTGCTAAGCATGTGGTTTCATAGCTTGGTGGGGGTAGGTATAGCCATGTACATACCTCACCTAGGGAAAGCTGTTACTGGCAACTTCATTTTACACATGTTCAGCCAACATAATCCCCTTATTAGATGACCATGTTACCTATTTTTGTCTCCTGTTGATTTGAGATCAGATTAACACTGGAATTTTGAAAGGGGAGATTTAGCATTAGCTTGTCAAAGAAAATATGGTTGCTAAGGTTTTGTTTAAATGGCAGCAAAGTCTGAAAATTACCTTTTTAAAGCTACCATTCTGTCTCAAAGAAGTCTTTACTTCTGGTCCTGTTTTTCTATTGTTCTTTCCCAACTAAAGGTTCTTTTTTTTTTTTTTTTTTCCTTGAAAGTCCCTATATGACTCTTAAAATCTGAATTATTACCAGAAGTAGGCAGAAGGACAAGATGAGTAATGAGGGAGCCATCTCTTTTTTATAAATTTATCTTTAATCACCAATTTAGAAAGGCAGACTGAAAAAGAAATTAAATAGAGCATGTTTTGTAAGTATAGCTAAGCATAAATGTCGCTTAAAAATTGACCTCACAGGCAATATTTGGTCACTTTTTGTCCTTATCTTAAAAGAAAATATGTACAAAACTTGAGGTGTTTCTAGAAGATACTGTGAAGAGAGTTGGGAAGTCAGTGAAATGTAGCAAAAGGCAAGAAAAAATTATCCAATATTTAGAGCAAGAGTTTCATCTGGTGGTAGAACTAGTAAATTAGGCAATTAGATCCATCATGAAGCTTTTATTCTATTGTTGTTATAACTTAAGCCTGCCACCAGTCTGTAAAGACACATAGAGTCTGAGGCCTGTCACAACTCCCTGTGCCGCTCTTACTTTGCACTTCAGGTGTACTCCCTTCTGATTTCCTATGAGACACAGAGCCCTTTTCCTGCTTTCTTCAAGTTGCCTTAGCTGTTCCTCACAGGCCTTTTAAATGCCTTTTCTTCCTCCTCCTAGTGCAGACAGCTGACTACTCTTCTTGGTTCTACTCTTTGTAGAGCAAGACATTCCACAGAATTAACACTTTAGGCCTATAATTTTGTTTTCAGGGATGTTTCTGTTTTGTTTCCAGTATTCAGAATAAGAATCTTGAGAAAAAACAAAGCAAACAATACACTCATTCTTGAAAAGATGGAAGGACACCAGATAGGGAGCAGTTGTTTGAATGTAATGACATTCAAAACCCTTCTGTTGAACAGAACAAAGGCTCTCTTGTGCCTGCTTATCACTCTTTCAGTATTAGGGAAGCTCTGAGAAGTGCTGTCAAGAAAGTGGCATAAACTAACCCAAAATGCATATGAAACCCAACATGGAGAAGTTATATGTATGTTTCTTTTCTCTTTCTCCTGAGTCCTTTTGATTATGCTTAGTTAGACACCCCTCACTAAAAATCCTGTAGAATACAATTTCTTTGTGGGTGGCAGGGATTTTTTTTTTTTTTTGCAGAAGTATAGGATTAAGAGTATTAATATCTTAGACTCCGCTTCTATTCAGTCGTCTGTCAAACTCCTGAAAGACTTCAGACAGCAATTTTACTCTGTGCCATAGTTGAAACCCTTCAGAAGTGGGACTACAAGTCTGCCTCACAGCACAGTGACACTAAATAAATTATGTAGGATTTCAGGACATCATCACATGTGAAAGCACTGCATATAATTGTTCTTTATTCAGTAATTCTGAAGGAAGCATGGAGTTGCTTTATTTGTTATGCTTCCTGTTAGTGAGACCTAATTTCTGGTCTGGGATTGAGTAGACAATCTCTCCATTCTTATATTTCTGTCAGTGGGTTGCTGACAATCCTAGCACTCTTATAACACTGGTTTTCTATTCAGGCACTTTACTGTATATAGTCTTTAAAGGGTAATGGATGTCTCATAAAGTTCTTTGTTATTAAATTAGTTTTACTACAGAACAGAACTGGTTTGCAATTGGATGCATTTATTGAAACTGGTGCTTCTCAGGAGGACATATGTGCAATAAGGAATTTAAAGTAGAATTAAGCTGACATATTTAATTTTCAAATGCATGATGAATTAGACTTTGCTTGAACTCTCACCTTGGGAAGAATGGGTACAGCTTGCTTTCAAGAAATCCTTTGTTGGTTAAATATGCTAGGTCTGTATTCAATGTTCTTTCACCATGTATTCTCTTGTGCTTTAATTTTAACAGTTTGCATTTTTTAACATCTTTTGTATTCAACCTGATGTTCAACTAGTCTCGTAACTGAAATCACCTTTTTAAACCAAGCTCTTGTCCTCCCTCTACAGGAGAATTTGCAGCGTTCAAGTAGCCACAGCACCACGGCAGCACCCACTCTGTTATTTAAGTCTTGTGTTCCTACAGTTTCTTAACATCAGAACCCCATTCTGCTCCACAAAACCTAAAGTAATTTAGAAAAGATATCCATAGGCTTAAATTGGAGCAGAATGGAACCACCAGTCCAACACAATGGGAAAAAGTACCTTTTTGGGAACCAGAGTCCTCTGCTGCCAGTGTTTCTCCTTCAACACAAACCACCACGTGCATTCGGAGACCTGCAGTGGCTGCCTGTGCCGTTGGCATCACTCCCAGCAGAGAGGAGAGGGCGCTCATGGTGTGCCTGTGGTGCTCGGGCGCGAGGGGATGGAGCTGCTGCTGCTGACCTTAGGAGACTTGCTTTGGATGGGCTGCCGGCCGCCTTTCTCCCTCTAACAGCGTAACCATCAGAGGCTGAATGTCTGATGAGTGCTAATTTCAAAGAATCATTTTCCATTCTGATCCTTTTTTTTTCCTGGTGTACTTACTGATTTACGGACAACGCAGTATCCCCTTTTCGCTGTATTACAGTGTCAAACACCTCAATCTGTCTGTATTGCTGGGGTTTATTCCTTTAAAATTAAAAGTGTGGGGCAGTGGGAGCTGGAGATGTTATTCTGAAGGCAGAGAGGTTCATCTGAAGGAAAAGGGGATGCTGCCACACCTTTTTTTCAGATTTACTTTACCACTTCTTAAAAAGAACAAGCAACAACCACCATCCTTAACCTTTTTCCTTTTCCAGTATTTCCTTGGCGTGTGCATACACAGCATCTTTTTGAAGGATTAGGTTGATCCTTCTTTTGTTGGTCCAGCAACAAACTGAAGTTTAAAAAAAATGTAGCAAGATTGTCCTCTTTTATTTTTTTTGTATCACATGATACAATGTATTTATCAAAGATGCTACTGCAGCATCTAAAGTCTGTAGACATCCTGATACAGACTGTGAATGGTGTATGTACCTACTTTAAAAGTTTTATTTTAAACGAGGGTGCAGGTTAATGCCAGGTACCTTACCAATATGTAATGTTTTCATAAATGAGGAAAAAAGTTCTCAGGTTGAATTGAATTCAAATACAATCTCCCCCTAGAATTAGACATTCCAAAAATTATGTTTTGGTACTTTCAAGAGCTTTTTTTAAAGGATTTTTATCCTGTTAACTAAACGTCCTCTGATAAGTGTGTGTGTAAATGTGTAGCATCTTGTCCTAACGGCAAGTTGTTAGATCAAAACAAAACGGTACTTGCTGGATCCACGCTGACTACTCCTCCTCTCATTGCTTTCCTCCCTGTCAGCTCTTCCCTTCTGCTTGTCTTTCCCTTCTGTACACTTTGCAAACTAGGACAAAGGTGGCGGTGTCTCCATTAGAGTGCTTTGTTTTCCTGTCCTCCAGTCCTGGTTTTCAAATGGTTAGTAGCTTTTTGAAAAGTTACCCAGTCAGGGAAAACAACAACTCATAGAGTTCTGCACATCATTTACCTCTAGTAGAATATCTCGTGATGTGATCTGCTTGCAGAGTTCTCTGGTATGTGGTATTACCTGTAAATTGTTTGTACAAAGGCAAGGCAGACCACATTGGAAAGAAACTCAAGCTCAGACAGAAGTTTCCAGAATTTGATTCATATTAGCCCTGTGCCACTCCAGGTGAGGCAGGAGAACTGACCCCCCTCTAGCAGAGAGGTTCTTGCTGGGAGGAGGGGGGGAGTTTTTAACGAAATCATGACAAATAAATGAAGGAGTTAAATGTGTGTGAATGTGGTGTCCATGCTAAACATGGATATACCGAGTGAAGGTGCTGTCCTTCCCTCCCTAGGGGAAGGGGACTGTTCCTGTCTGCAGAAGATTGCTCCCAGATGAAGGGAGAAAAGCACATTGGAAGTAGAAGGTGTTTTTAATACCCTGGAATTTTGCTGTGTTGCTGGTAGTCTGTTACGTTTGTCAGTAAATATTTACTGGGGCTATAGGGACCTGACTGATCTGAAGTGGGAATTAAAACTGAAATACTGTGTATTCATATTAATTCCACAAACATTAGCAAGATAGCAATAGTGAATGACTTAATAGTCACTACAAGAATGAAGTGATTCATGTTGGTACATGAACAGAATTGATTTTGTGTATGGGACACATTTTAAAAAAGAAGGAAAAAAAAAAAAAGCACAATTTTTTTTCTTGTCTGCTGTGGGTCTTCAGATGCTGTAAGGTTTTTACCTTAATGAGGTTGGCAGGAATTTAAACAGTAGCAATAGCCACTTTCCAGTGTGGAGAAGCTGATGCAGAGCAGTGGTAGCAGATGGTGTAGTTGGAGTGCTCCCTGGTGATCATCTGAGGCCCGTACCTGAGAGGTGGAGGGAGCCTGGGGCCATGGTGGCAGCAGGCAGGTGAGAGCATTTACCAGATACAGGCTCCCAGGGGGAAAGGAGTCCCTGCTTCTCCTTTCACCCCATGATTGGCTCCAGCCCCTTTATGGGCTGTGGTCCTATTTGTACATGTCAGGGATACTGAGGTCAAGGTTCTCTCAAAAGAAGCTGTTAACAAAGCAAGTATGGACAGGTGGTTCAACACTCATTTGTTTCACACAGCTTGCTAAAAGCTCTTGTTTCCTTCCATAAAGTCATGCTGGCAGAAAATTCTGTTAGGAACTTCATTCTATATTTGCTTAAAAAGAACTTACTTTGGTGAAGATTCATTACCCATTAGTCTACAATATGCTTCTTGAGCCCATAGGAAAAGCACAAGGAAAATTGCTATCCTTGTCCATGCAAAGCACTTTATAAGTAACACATGATCTCTGGGGTTTTTTTTTACTGGGGTTTGTTTGTTTGTAGTTTTGTTTTTCTTTTTTTATTTCTGGTTTTGGTTGTTTGTTTTTTTTTCCCTGAGGAATGTGCAAGTTATTTGGCTGCTGTTTAGAGAAGTCCTTTCAGGATGCATTTCTACTGGTTTTCTTGTTTGTTTCCCTCCAGATAGCTGTAGTAATGTGTGTTTGTCTGTAAGAGTTCCCAGGTAATGCTCATGCAAAACTTTGAAAGAAATGTAGTTTGTAAATAATTGGGATTATTTTTGGTTTTATCTTTTACTTCAGGAGTTTTTCTGGATGTCTTGCATGCCATCAGAACCAGTCTTAAAGATGCCCTGTAGATATTTAGAATATGGAGAATCAAGAATAGATGAGAAAGGAGTACTCTCTGTAGCAGTGGGACGAAGGAAGTAAACTGAAATGACCAATACATTCATGCCTGTTACCCTAAATTCCTTAAGCTCCTTCATGGTGTCCCAACCACGGGCACATGCCATAGTATGGAAATGTGAGTACATCCTTCATGTGCACATGTTGGGACAAACACCTAGAGAGTCATTCTGCTTCTTTTAGCTCTATAGTATCTTGTATTTCATAATCATTTGCAGAAGTACCAGTATCCAGTCCCAGCTATTCATGTCTCTATCAACCAGGCACAGACCTTCTCCTCTGCCTTTCCTTTTTCATACAGGTGACAGAGGTCTGTTACCTGTTAAACCTTCCTGCTCAGTATGTGATTGTTTTCTCTGGCATATTTGCCAGAACTGCAGCATTGTGGTGGAGCTCAAACCAAATGGCAGGGATATAGAGGCCAGGTTACTTTGAAAGTAATTGCTGTGTCAGTTAAGCCCTACATAGCCCCAGATACAATTAGCCCAGTCATTTCTTTTTTTTTTTTTTTCTAAACTCATTAGAAAATTTCATTTCTAATCATTAGATTAATCCACTTCTGCTTTTTATGCTTACCCAAAATCAGCTTTTCTTGTACTTGAATGCTCTAGCAGCTGATAATGATGCAGAATGTTTGAGAACAAATACAGTCATTTTACCATGGTGTCTTAGCATCACTTGGATTAGTATGTGCTCCTTGGAGGCAGAATTTGGCCTTTGTGACATAAAATGAGTGAAGTTCTGATTGTTGATAAATACCATGTATTTCCATAAATGCCCAGACTGGGGGAAAAGTACCCTGAAAATCACACATAAATAGTTTTTCTTCTGTGTTTGCCTGGGGGTGTAAATGCATCCAGCATTTTACAGAAGGCTGAGGGAAGACAGATCCCCAGATACCTCACAAACAAGTACGGATTGAAGCTTTGATATCTGCAGAGTCTAAATTTAGGGAAGAAGCATGTAAACATTTCACGCTTCTGCAGCCTCTAGAATTCATTCCCTTCTTGACTGTGAGTGCAGCATTTGTAGCACCAACTCTTCATAGTACTGTAGACATGTCCTCTGTTGATAAAATGTATCACCGGTAGCACAGTGGGACAGGCAAAGCTTCCAGGTACAGTCAAGTTAAAAAGCAGCTGCATGAGTGGACTCTTAAGGCATCACTCTGAAGATGCTGAGTGTTCTGGTTTTCTGTGATGCATTTTACGTAGAAGTTTATGAAACAAACTTTGTTTACTGCAGCCTTGTTACTGTGCATTTGCACTTGGTGTTTGTTTTGGCATGCATTTGAAAGGCCTGTCTTCACTGCTTCATTACTTCATACCAACTTCATGCCCACCATATGATGTTTAGCCAGGGCAAGTACTGAATTCTGCACCTGAGGTGGGTAACCCTGGCTGTGTGTATAGACTGGGGGATGAGAGGCTGGAGAGCACAAAGGGACCCGGGGGTCCTGGTTGATGGCAAGTTGAACACAAGCCAGCAGTGCCCTGGCAGCCAGGAGGGCCAACCCTGTCCTGGGGGCATCAGGCACAGCATGGCCAGGTGGGCAAGGGAGGGGATTGTCCTGCTGTGCTCTGGGCTGGGACCTCGGCCTCACCTCGAGTGCTGGGGTGCCACAGTGTAAGAAATACTATTGCTATTAGACTATTACTAATGAACTATTAGAAAGTGTCCAGAGGAGGGCCATGAGGATGGTGGAGGGGAAGCCATATGAGGAGCAACTCGTGGTGTGCTCAGCCTGCAGGAGACTGAGGCGAAACTCACTGCAGTTACTACTTCCTCATGAGGGGAAGAGGAGGGGCCAGCACTGATCTCTTTTCTGTGGTGACCAATGACAGGGCCCAAAGGAATGGCCTGAAGTTGCATCAGGGGATGTTTAGATGGAATATCAGGAAAAGGTTCTTCATCCAGGAGGTGGTCAGACACTGGAACAGGCTGCTCAGGGCAGTGGTCACAGCACCAAACCTGACAGAGTTCAAGAAGCCTTTGGACAATGCTCTCAGGCACATGGGGTGATTCTTGGGGTGTCCCGTGCAGGGCCAGGAGTTGGACTTTGATGACGTTGTGGGTCCCTTCCAACTCAGCATATTCTATGATGCTGTGATTCTTACCTTACAAATTATCAGAAGAGCAGAACCAGATTGTTAAAATGAAAAAGTTTGCATTTAAGTTTCAAGGATGCTGACACAGAAGCTACTAAGTCAGCACCATGACAGCAGTAACTATGAACCTGTGGAAGGAGGAAGCTTTAAAAGCTGCAGAATACAGATTACACCAAGAGTGAATTCAGATGCAAACTTAACTTCTCTCTTTTTAGAAAAGAGAGTTACCAAGACCCTCTGTTCAATGGTTTACATAGGGATCCCCCAAAACAGTTTTTGTAGTTTGCCAAATGATCATGTGCCTTTGCAACCTTCAAAAGTACAACAGAATGTAAGCCAGGTGCTTTGTAACTAGAGCAGTGTCTTTGGTTTACATCTGCTGCAGTAGTTTTGTATATAGCTGTCCCTGTATGTAGGCAGTTTGGAGTTGGTCAGCTCCTGTAAAGGAGCAAGGAGGGCAGAGAGCATTCCCCAAAATACCTGCTAGCATTTCAAAGCTAAGAATTGAAGGATACTGAATTTAGTTACAGTAATCCTGCTGCTGGAAATCTGCTCTATCAACAAGTAGTGAGGTTCATTTAACTTAAAAACAAGTAAGCCCTCCTTCCCTTCCAAAGGCACAGAGATCTTGTTAAAGAAAGCTCCAAAGAGGCCCGAAGCTACACTCTTATAGCACCTTGGAATGAGATGGTAGATGGAGAATGAGAGCTAGATGAGGAGAAACTGGTGGTTAGGATTCATGTAATCAAGGTTCACATGTATCAGACTATACAATTAGTTCCTTGTCCCAGAAAATGCAGTAAGTTTTGTTTCTGCATTGTCAGCAGGTTTCCTCACTGCTTCCCTGGGCCTCTTGCAGTTGCTGTTCAGTGCTCACATCCCATTATTGCACATGAACTGTGGGAAATGTAGGTGTCTTGTCAGCTGAGGGACAACCAGTAGGTGTGAATTTGATTTGTTCAGCTTTCAAACTGGTTACATAGACTTCTGGCAGTACCTGCGTATCAGTGTCATATTTAACCTACTTGTCCATGAAGGACAAAATAATGGGTTTGGATATTAATGCTTTTTCAGATCTTTTCCTTTTCTTCCTTGGGGTAAGACTTTTGGCATAATTGTAACTTACAAAGTTGTCTAAATGCACAGTTCTTATGAGATATCAAACCAATTTTAATTTGGCTTTGTTCCTTTTAGAAAACAAAGTGTAAAAATGTTTTACTTATGTTCCAGGAACTATCTGGCATCCTTCTACCTACCCCAAATTCTGCACTAAAAGTACATGTGATGGTTCTTTTGTTTCTCTTCTTTTTTTTTTTTTTTTTTTTTTTTTTTTTTTTTTTTTTTTTTTTTGGGTGGCAGGGAGAGTTGGTTTTTAGGTTTGGGGGAGGAGTTGTGGGTTTTTTGGGTTTTGCTTTTGTTTTGGTTTTTTTTTGTTTAGGAACTTCTAAACTACGTAGTATTTGCTTCATAGCATCCAGCAGCAGTGTGTTCAGCTCACCCAGCCTCCTCCAGAGCCAACAGTGGCTTGTCCAGTCATTTTGTTGAGTTTGTCATGTTTGCAGCAGTTGTACTTTAGAATAAGCCTAGTGTGATATTTACTTTTGAGCAAGTAAACGACAAAAATAACTTTGTTTTCTTTTTTTATTGTTTATTTGGGTTTGGAAGATGGTCAGGTTTTGTTTTGATAAGTGTCATTCTGTGTTGCATTTGTGTATTCACCCTTGTTGAAGAGAAAATCCATCGGTGTGTTTGAGAGTTCAGTGGAATATTAGGAGAAGAAAAGAAGCCCATCATCTGGGCATGGATGTTGGATCTAGGGGGAAAAATGGACCAAACTTGGGTGTTGGGTTATTTGGGGATGGTGGGGGGGCATAATTTAAAATAACTCTGTCTAAAATAAAGTGTAAGTGCAATAAATGTGCTTTTTTTTATTCAAAGCTGTGAACCTTTAGAAAAAAAAAATACAAAAAAGTCAACCAAAAAAAAAAAAAAGCACATCATTCTTTCATGAGCCTTGTGTCCTACCTGCCTCCCCTTCCTCTCCCTCTCCACACTTCTCAACTGACAGAAACCTGACAGTGGCCAACTTGCATGTGTTGGCAACCCAAATTAACATTGCTGTTCTGATCTCATTGATGGGGTTGGGGAAAGTCCTGCCCCCTACTTCTCTTCCACTATTGAAATTTTCTTGGGCTCCAGTACTGCCCTGTGCCTCTAGAGCAAGGTCTGTCACTACCTGGGATGCAGGAGCCAGCCCATCTGCTCTGTGTCATCCTGACTCCAAATGCAGAGCTCCTCCTGACCCTCCATTCTCCAGGTGGAACCCTCCTCCCCACCTCCCTGTGGGTGTATTGAAGGCTGTCCTGGGCTGGGCAGTGACATTGTTCTCAAGCAGTTGCAAAAGGAATCAGCCATCAGCTACCTGATGGGATCCCCTTTCCTTGACCCAACACACACATGCAGGCTGGCCACTGTTGCCTTCTGTGACTCTGCCTTGTTTTGCAGGAGCAGGTGTAAGTGTGTGTAACCTGTCGTGCATTACTTGCACTTTCTTACTTGAGCACAGGCTGCTTTTCCTTGATCAGGAAAGGGGCACAGGTCTCCTGGGCTTCCCAGGAGAGTGCCATGCATTGAGCAGTGACAGAAGGGGTAGCACTCACTGGCTGGACCCTCTGGGGGAGCAAGAGAGGACCGGCTTGTTTAAAGTTTATAGATACCCAGATCTATATCCTTTAAACTTTATTATTTTTATAGATAGTCAAGACAATGGCATTACCTCATAATACAGAGGCTTGTTTATGAGAGGCAAAGTACATAGTAAGGAGAGGAAAGGGAAATTTATATACAGATTTGATTTCTTTTTGTTTGTTTGTTCCTTAGTGCAATGAAATGTATGTCCCACCACTTTAAACTCTGTGCTAACACATTCCTTTCAGCTGTGTTCCTTTTTTTTTTTTTTTTTAATTGACCACCAGAAGTTTGCAAGGGGCTTATGACTGCAAAGTAGAAGGTCCAGTCTGGTTACTTAAAAAAAAAAACCAACCCATTGTGTTAGTAGATTTCCATAGCTGCTTTTTAAAATCTACAATGGAGTAATTGTTTCTAAACTCGTATTTATTTTTTAATTCATAACAAAATGTTTATTTTTGGTTTCCTGTTAGGTAGGTCATGGCAACTCCCCTTTGTTCCTTCTCAAGTTTCCCCTGTAATTGCCAATACAACTTATTTTTCTTGTTTGTTCCTTCTCCCTTTACTTTTGTTGTCCCTTCATTTGTACTTTGGAGTTTTTCTCATGTAAATTTGTACAATGGGAAATATTGTCCAGTTTGGTTAGAGAGCATGGAGACTTAAAACATATTAAAATTTGATAGCTGAATTCAGATTGAAGAAAACTATTTCAGTGTAAAGTTATTTAAAGAACTCTGTATTATATGAAAGGCAAAAAGTTCTATGTACTTGATGTGAATATGAGAATACTGCTATAATAAAGATTGACTGCATGGAAAAGTCTGAAGGAGATGGTTTGTTGTGTCATGCATGACTCCTCTCCACGAAGTTGGAGGGGTGCAACTCAGGTGGTTAAGGGGAGTGAAAAGGTTACTTTAGGATATAACTCTGAAAGGGGAGAAGAAATAAAATAAAATCAAGGGACTCCTGCAGTGTAACCCCCCTCCCTTCATCTTCTTAAGCTGGATCACTGCCTCCTTGACTGCTGTGCTGAGCCCTAAGGCATTTTTACCTTTACTGTTCTGAACTTCTATATACCCAAGGGGAGTTTTCCTTCATCCTGGGAAAAGCCTGGCACCAACTGGTCTGGGTTCTCTTCTGGGTAAATTATCCTGCTTCTATGGCAATTTCCCCTCACCTCTTCATTGGTTATTTGGCAGAGCCTTTATTGAGAAAACTGTTACCTGCCATGTATCAGGGACCTTATTTCTTGGGGCAAGCACATTCTCTATCAAGCAGGCATTACAGAAGCTCATGTGTACTCAAGTACTACAACTTTAAAGCTGTCATGGTAATTTCCCAAGAATTCTACTTAAAATAGAAAAAAAATACAGTTCAGCTTAGACTTTGTTTACAGTTTTATTCACAAAAGGACCGAGGAGACAAAGATTTGGTTCCAGGGGCCTCAGTTAGTTCCAGGAACCTGAAAATAACAAAAGAAAAACCTGAGAACCTTTTTGCTCATCATTTTCCCACTATGCAGAGCAGAAGAAGGACCTCCTCACTGCTGCCTTCAGCAGTAGATGAACCTTTGGTTTAGAGCTGTAATGCGTGACCCAAGAGCTTAAAAAAGACTCAGTAATTAAAGAACTGGAAACAAAAGCCTCAAACGTTTAAGGGGACATCTGGACAGATGTCTCTAGAAACAGAGCATGTCTTCGAAGTTAGATAATGCTGGGTCTACACAACTGCATGAATAAAATAATTTAGAACCAGTACCAAGCTACAACTCCTAACAAAGTCGGTTGTTACAGTGCACACTTATATTGCCAAAACTGGGCTACCTGGTCTCAGGCAGCCGTGTGTGAAGGCAGAGCAGTGCAGACACTGCCTCCTGTACCGCAGAGACTGCGCAAGTTTCCCCTGGGCACTGCACAAACACCTGCTGGGAGCAGGGTCCCTGCAGCGGTACCAGCCGGCGGCACAGCCGGGCACGGTGCCCGGGGCTGCACCGCAGCCAGGGGCCGGCCGCGCTCAGGGCCGAGCGGGGAGAGGCGACGGGAGCCGTACCGGTGTGCTGCTATTCCTCATCGTCCGGAGGGATGCCGAGCTCCTCGTCAGTCCAGGCCGAAGCGTCGGGATACGGGAAGTGTCCCTGGGAGAGAGGCCCGTCAGAGCGCGGCCGGGGCCCGGCCCGCACCCCCCGCCCCCGGCCGCCGCGCCGGCCTCACCAGCACCATGTCCGAGTTATGCCAGAACTGCCAGAGGATCCAGAACCACATGAAGCCGCTGAGCATTTCGCCTCGAATCACCTGCGCCCGCGTCAGCTCCGGGAACTGCCGGTACCGCGGCGGGATGTGCACCCCGCCGCCCGCGCTGTAACACAGCACGGCCCCGCCTCACTNNNCCCGGCCCGCCCGCCAGCCCCGCTGCCCGGCCCGCCCCGCTCACCGCCGCCGCCCGGGCACGGCGGCCCCGGCCCGCAGCAGCCGCCCCGCCGCTCGGCCCAGTGCCACCACCACCATGGCCGTGCCCAATGTCACCCGCACCGCCCAGCAACAGCCCCGGCGATTGGCGCGGGGGCCGCCTTCCGGGGCGGAGACAGCCCGCGGCACCGAGGTATCCCGGGAAACGGAGAGAGCCCGGGGCTCGGAGGTCTCTCGGGAGAGGGAGGCAGTCCGGGGCACGGGGACAGCTCGGGGCACGGAAGTGTCTTGGCTCGGGGACGGCACGCACTGCCCCCGGACATCTGCCCCTCACTCCCCACAGCACTTGGGAGCGCCGGGGCCGCACCAAGGGCGGGTTCTCCGTGAGTTCTCCCACAAGTTGGCATGGCCCACGCGGGGCGAGCTCCCCAGCCAGGCCGCTGCTTTTTGGAGGGGCGGGGGGAGGAGACGGCTCCAGCTGGTGGTGTTTAAGGAAAGGGCGAAAGCAGCAGCGCGTCCCTCTGTCCAAGCCTGGGCAGCCCGGCAGTCCAGCCCAAGCAGTCCGGTTGCGGGGCACGGGCGGTGTCCCGGCGGCGCCTCCCGCCATGGCGGGGCCGGGATGCGGACCTCGCCCTCGGGGCCGGGCTGTCGCGGAGGAAGCAGCTGGTGCGGAGCCTCTTCCCGCTCTCTGGGCCGGCAGCCGGAGCGGGAACGCACGGGCGACGCCTCGGCATAGAAATAGCCAGCAGAGAATTCCCACCTGAGCATCTGAGAGAGTTTTGTTTTTCACTCCGGTTTTCTCTCTCCCGCAGGTGTTACAGCAGTGCCCCTGCCTGTTTATTGCTCGCTCAGCAGTGTTCCTGGGTCCAGGCTGCAGCCTGGTTTCAGTCCCGACACTTTGAGGAGGATGGAAAACCCAACCTGCTGGTGGGTGGATCTGTTCACCGGTATATGCCAGAGCAAGGGTTGGAGGAATTCTGCCAACTTCTTGTGGAGAACCAGTTGCATCCAGTAATGCATATTGGTATGCCTTCTGGGACGTTGAGGTGATCACAAAAGAAGCAAGCAAAAAATGATGGAGAAAGTACCCAGACTGCCAGGAGGGTCCTTTCAAGGAATCCAACACTCCCCCACTCCTCCTGACAAGGTATGATGCCAACGTCAGATTAATCCACACTTGTAGTTCCTCCTGAATCTTTATTGGGTAACACTCCACAAAGAACTGGACAAGAGTTTCTATGGTCCTCCTGAAGGTATTTTAAATAAGCAATAATACCTTCTCCATTTGTTAACACCACAAAAACCTAACATCCTCAGCTGAAGCAGCCGTGGATAGTGTTGTAGTTAAGAAATTTTAGTTTCCCTGCTCATCTGAGCCATTTTCAGCAGCAGTTTACAGGGAATAGCAGCAAACTTTTCAACCAGTTTTTACTTACCATGTGCAACGTGTCACAACCCCTGCAATGTGCTCCATACCGAGTTTATGTTTTTCCGTAAAAGCTGAATGCTTTGATACAAAGTTCGTAGATTTATTGTCAGCTCTGCCTTCCAACTGCCTTGTATTTTGTCTTTCTGCCTTCTTGCAGTCCCTGGCATTCTGTTCCCTGTGTCCTTGTTCTCAAGCATCCCACGTTTCCCATCTTGCTCAGGCTGGATATCTCCACTGCTGGCTTTGACCTGCAGAGGCAACTTTGTCCCCCTAGACTGAACCCCCACTTTCTTCACTCTTCCTTGACTTCAGGTCCTTTCATTGACCTTTCAGCTTTGCTTGCCAGGGGAGCTCAGAAGATGTGTAAGCAGCAGCAGCAGCAGTGCACACGTAGCCACTGGCTGCCCACCCCTGCTACGCACCTAGCAGCTGAATAGAAACCAGGTGCAAGGGGGGTTTATCATATAGTTCTTACGTTTTGGGTTTTTTTCATGATCCTTCTTTCCAAACTTTATTTCTCAAAATCAAAAAGATTTGTGATGAATTTACAGATAAGCAGCATAGTACTACAAGATATGGTGGAAGAATTATGGAGAGAAGTAATAAACTGAAAGTAAATTTCAACTTTGTAGACAATATTCCTGTTTAAGGATTTAAATGTTCAAAAATCATGCTCATTTTCTGCTTCCATCTCCTCCTTCCAGGTGAGCTCCACATCCATCTCACATGTCCAGTGCTGCCACTCAGCCAATAAAGATTCCTGCAGCTCTGTGCTGCCAAGATGTCCAGTAACACAGTAAGCTCATAATCTATAGGTGGGTCACTGGAAAAGCAGAGAAGAAAAAGCTGGGAAACAAAGACAGTTATTGCAGGGTGGGGGTTTTGTCCCATGTTGATTTAGTTGGTTTGCACTGCAGTAAGTTGCAGAGTATCTGTTGCCGGGCTTTCCATTACTTCTTGCATTTTTGTTTTCCACAGCTGTCGTGTTTGTGCCTGGAACCCAGGTCCCTTTTGCATGCCCTTGATACCCTCAGCAAAAAGAAATTTCATTGGTTCATCCCTGGAGGCTTCCCGTGTCCTGAAGGGGGCTCGTGTGTTGGCAAGGAGAGAAACTGATGGCTATTACTACCTGGGCCACCTTGTCCAGGAGGTGAAGGTAGCTATTTATTGGGAACATGGCTGTAAGAGCATGTGTGGCTTTTTTTCTGTTCTTCCCATACTCACCAGTCCCAAGCCCTTGCTGTGGGGTGGCTCTCCAGTGTTACAGTGCATTTCCTAGCCACTGTTGCCTCCCTCCCCTGTTTTCATCTGTTACCTGGTGCTGTCTGGCTGCTTGCTGTGAGGAGTCCTGCAAGTAAGAACAGCCTGGAGACCAATCTGTTTTTGTAGTTATAATGAGTTTTTATTCAGAGACAGACAAAACAGGTCCCTTATCCCTGTTGTCTACTTTTGCCCAGCCTAGCAGCAGAGTTAGTTAGCTAAACAGCAGCTAGCAATCCAGAATGTTTGTCTCCAGGGTCCGCTTCCTCTTTATGGAACTGAGAGCTTTCCTCATTCTTTTCCATCTGTGTTTCTGGAAATTGTGAGATGATTTTGGATGCCAGATAGAAAATCCCCCCTGCAGGTTTTCTTTTAAAATCCAGTTCATTTTGCAGGTTAGTTAAATAAATTTGCTGATATAGGTGAGGATGTCTGTAAGCTTCAGTGTGAGGTAGAACAGATTGGGGTAGAACAGATTGGTACAGCTATAGACACAAGTGACATCAGCTGGAGTAGGAGCTGACAGTATTACTTAAGTGCACTCAGACATCTGCAGAGAAGGCTGAGATTCTGACAGTAGATCTTGCCCTCGCTGCTGAAGGTTTCAATTAAAGTGTTTAAATTTATGACAATTGTGACTTTTTATTGCTTTGTTACCCTTCTGATTGCTGAAGGATTGTTTTTTATCCTTTTGATTGTGGTGAACTGCATCATACAGTTTCTTTTTGCTGCTCTTTTTCTTGTGGGAGGTTTTCCTGGTAGAGTTCTGCCTTAGCCTGCTGATTGTGTTCTCACGAATATCTAACTCCAAAGTGAAAGGAAGAAAAAGCCTGTCAGCCCCTTAAGCCCCAGCTTTTTATTTACTTTTAAAGTGGTCTGGACACAGTACAGTGAAACCCTGGTAGAATAGGAAAGCTGCATTCCCAGATCACATTCCAGTTTCTGGGATTTCTGCCACTTCCTTCTTAGCCTTTAAACTTTGCTGTTAACTGGACCTTGCAAATTGCCTTGCAGACCACATGTTTTACTCTTGCAGGGCTCCAGGGAAGGCTTTTTAGTTGAGTTTGACCAAAGTTGTGCTCTGAAGGGCAAGGTCGAGCCTGGCCGGCAGGAAACGCCCCTCTATGACATTCTGCACTATGAAGATGCCCGGCGACAGCCTCTTGCTCCAGGGGACAAGGTCTTGGCACCATGGGAGACTCCAGCCAAACGTTTTGGCCCTGGCACTGTGCTAAGGGTTGTGGAGAACACAGAGGCACCTTTAGGTACCTGCTTTGGGTGTTTTGGTTTTCTTAGCAGCACTGCACTCGCCATGGGAGCTGGTCACTGCAGGGAAGAGAACAGGCTCCAGCACAGAGAATTCACCTCCTGGTGCTTGGGTTCTCTTCATTGTGTTTTTATTGTTGGCACTAAGCCACCTTTTCAGGGTCAGAATTAATGCAGCTCACAGAATTTGCCTTTGCTTTGTTCTGTGGGTGAAAACTTCCTAAAAAGTTAGGGGTTGGGGATAGCATTCTCCCAGCACAAGTCAAAAACTGTTCCTGATCCTCCTGAGGATCACCTGATTATCTGTTAGTCTGCTTACTAGGTATTTCAGGGTAAAATTCCACCTGCTGTGGTAAGTGAGATTTTTTTTACATCTGCTGTGTCCTTGCAGGAATTTCAGGAGAAGGTAAAATTTTAAACGTCTAAAGAATGAAATCATGGAAGTTGTTACAGAATTGTCTGAAACACAAGTCATTGCTTTTACCTCCTGCTCTCTATGAGATAAATCACACAGATTGACATGCTGCTAATACATTACTTGCCCTTTTTTTTTTTCCCCAATATGCACAGCACACAATGAAAGGGGAGTGCTTGTGAATTTCTGGAATGGGCAGACTATGGAGGTCTCTTCTGCCCAAGCTCTGCGGATTCCTCTACCCCTAAGCGAACGCATCATCCTGGAGCTGCAGATGCCTTTAGCAGCCAGGCAGATGGTGGTAGATTCAAGCTTGGATTACCCATACCTTGTGGCACCAGGTTATAGAGCCTCAGGGCACTACAGACAGGGTCACCTGGGCCTGGATTGCTGCCCAGAGGCTCTGTATTCCACTCATCCCTGTGCCAAGTGCAGCTGGGGGTGTACCTTTCTTCCCCAGTGCTGCCTTGGAGCCTGGGAACCCACACGGCCTGCAGAGTGCAAAGTGCGGCAGGAAAATGCCTTCATCCCGAGAGCAAGCCTGACTGAAGAAAAGCTCAGGAAGAAAATTAAACAGGAACTGTCTGAATTGAGGATTGCTTCTTCAGAAAGTGTTTCCAGAGAGGAAGAGAAGAGATTAGAGACAGAAAACATTCCAGAAGATGTTAGGTCTTGTTTGGAAAAGGACCATGAGGTTATAGAAACTGAGAAGGTAAAAAGTAGTTCACCCTGGCTCTTCTGTTAATAAATGGTCTACTATGTGTGTAAATATCAGCTTTGTTACTGCAAATTTACTACCCTTGGTACCAAGCTAGAGGTTTAAGGCCTTATGCTTTCCGCTAAAGAATGTGGAGACTTTGCACTGCCTTCCTTTGACTGGCATAAGGATATTGTTAACAATCTGTCATTGTCCCTGGCTAGAGCAAGCTTCTAGAACTTCTTCCATGGATGCACAATATGAGAAATGTTGCATAGCCCAGTCCCTCTACATTCTGAATGAAGGAGGTGATGGCAAAAAAAAAAGGAAAAAGTGTCAGAAGACTTTGCACTGGATAAGGATTACTGTAGATATTGTTCCATACCAAGGCAGTCTTCTGCATGATTCTTTTAACATACTTCTCCACCCTGTTAGAGGTGTCCTCTCTCCCAGTCAAGGACTACAAGAGACTTAAGTAGTCCTCAGCAGCTGATTTGGTGCTTGTGAGCAGGGCAGTGGGTGAGGATCAGCAAGGAGGAGATTCGTGTGCATCAGCTACTGCCACACTTATCTCCATTGCTGTGCAAGGGTTAGAATCCAAATTCTGGCACATGCCAGAAGCAGGGCTGTCTTTCAGTCAGAGCTCCTCTGGCCTGATCTCTTTTGTACCAGTTTGGACCCTTTCAGGCAAAAGTACTTTGGGTCATTTGGAGACATAGGGGAAACTCGGGAAGTTATCAGAAATTACCTATGGGTTGTTTCTTTAGTAAAGAACTCTCCCAGAATTTGGTTTTTTTCATTCTGTCCTGAACTTCAGTTACAATTTAAGATCTTATGCTGTAAACTCATTAAATAAACATATTCTTTTCCTTATCAGGTCTGGATTATGGTTGCATTTCTTGTTATTTCTAGGGCCCTCAGAGGGAGATGGCTCATGCTGTGGTTGATGCTGCTGTCAACACAGACAGCTGGTTAATGGAGACAGATCACAAGGAAGAAGCAGAGAGCAGACAGCAGGATGCTGAAACTGAAGCTAATTTTGAACTTGAGCATGGTATTGGAACTATAACTCTTTTACCCAAACATAAGACTTAGCACATAATATCAGTGCAGGATGGCATCATGTATAAGATCTGCCACCATAATTCTTGGTGCTTTACAAGAAAATACCATAATGCCATCTATATATATAGGTATTAATGGTGCTATGGCTTGAGAAGTTATTATCTTCTCTCAAAGTGAAAGAATTTTCAGATGGAACTTGAGATTTTTTGGCTTTTACAGCTCATCTACTGCAGTAGCAGCTTTTGGGGGTTTTTAACCTATATCGTAGAGCTCAGTATAAATAAAAATTTCTTTACTTTGAAAATTAATATTTTAATATTAACAGTGACTGTGTATAGCAACAAGATTTCACCAGGACTTTTCTGCAAAACAATCCTCTTATCTGTGCTGGAAATTACTGCTTTGTAATGTCACTGAGTAGAATTTTGTCCCCTGAACAGCCAAAAGGGGCTGGATCATGATTTTGATCAATTTGTTGCTGTTCTCAGCTTTGTGACAATTGCAGACATCTAAGAGAGGATTCTGAAAGCCTGTAGCTTTCTCTGTTATTTCTTTGTGACACTGCTGGAAGAGGGAGAATAAAAAGTCAAACAGGAGTGCACATTTCCTCCCAGCTGGTGTTCCAGCATCATTCCATGCAACAGCTGCCACTCAGATCTGCCCTGTCCTTAGCAGAAAGGTGTGAGCAAACTCTGCTCCTGTTCTCTGTTACCCAAAAGCTGTGTTAGCAGGGTAGTGCCCATATTAATGTTACCTGTCTCTCAGCAGGATGTGGAGCTCAGGCATTGCCCTATCAAAAGATTTATCATTTTTATTCATCTCAGAGCAGTTCATGCCAGTCTGTGAGATACCACGTAAACAATCCTTTAGCCTGAGTAGCTGTAAGAAGTGCCAGGCAAAACTCAGTTTCCCAGGCCAAACTCTAGCCTAAATGCAATGGCAAGCTTGTTTCTGAAAAGCTGGAACCTCTTTTGTGGAGACTAAAAACTGTCCCACTTCCTCATAGGAAAGTGTTGTAAAATCCTTGCTTGAATATATTTCATATGAGCAGAGCTTTTGTTCTTTTAATTTGCTTTCTTTTTATAAGCTTCCTATATTCTCATATGTCCTTGCCCTAATTTATTTGAAAGGCCTTTTTGAGTCCAGAGTGGCAGACGCTCCAGTCCAGCATTCCCAGAGGAGCCCTTCCCTGGGAAGCAGTGCTTTGGTTCCTTTCAGGTGCCAGAGCTTTTTTGCCCAGGTGAATCAATCACTGGAGAAAGACAGCCTGACCATCAGATCAGCCCTTCATGTGCAGAGACCCCACAGTACCAGCCACCTGCTGGCTGGGAGATCCACACATCTCCCAAACCTTCTAAAAGACAAAATCATCACAGTGAGTATTTAAGTTTAGTTCTTAGAATGACGAGATTTGTTTATATCATGTGGGAATGTTCTCTCCTTTGATCTTTCACAAAGGTTTTTGCTGCAACAGAAATTATGCCTGTGTAGAATAATGGTTATGCATAAATAGAAACTTAAGGACTCCACTTGGGAGCCCACGTTGTGCAGGCACGTGTGGTATTTTTGCTCAGCACTTTGGACGGATTGTTTTTGTATGTTAGATCTAATCTCTTCTAAATAAGCTTCTCAGCCAGCTCTACTAGATAGCAAGAAAACAAACAAACAAAAAATTTCCTCTTTTACAGATACTGAAAGCAAAAAAGAGAAAGTTTAGGCAGTCATCTGAAGCCCACAGCAAAGAGTGCATGTTAGGGCGGGGGTGGAGCTAGGAGTTTCCTGATCCTTAGGCTGGTACTTTCCCTGCTGGAAAACATCATTTGTTCACCTCCCACCTACCAAACACCTTTGATTCTTTCTTTGATCTCTCCTTGTGTGTGTCATTAAACACACCCACAAGGTACATTTTTTTGCTAAGAATAGCAATACACTGGAGAGCAAAGCTGTTTACAGCCACTGGGAAGCCATACAGATCAATGTGTTAAGAGAAACCTGTCAAAATGCTGTGTAAGACTGGCAGGAACATGATTTGAAAGTCCTGTAGTGTTTTCCAGCTTGTGGTATTTGAGTTGTCCCCAGGAAAGCACTGGAAGGAGACATTCTGTTTGCAGAGGAGCAGCTGTGATAGCAGGAACATGCTAACTGCTCTTGGGAATAGGAGGAAGGAGGATGCATTTGACAGAGGAAAATATTTTGTGGGAACTCTGTTCCAGCTCCACATGGCTCTAGCAATGTAAACTGGAATACATGTCTAAAGGTTTGGTGGTGTTTACTTGCACTTGCCACATAAAGGGCACTGTAAGAAGTACAAAAACAAATAAATATTTCACTATGGCTGTGAAGAGGCCTTGTGGGTGCTCCTTCATCTCTGTACATGGCACAGGCATTTAAAAACACAAATCAGCAGCACTACAGCATTGAAATGGAGGTACTGCTGAAGAAAACACAAAGACTGCTGGAGCCAAAAAATCTCAAGTTCCATCTGAAAATTCTTTCACTTTGAGAGAAGATTAATAACTTCTCAAGCCATAGCACCATTAATACCTATATATATATAGATGGCATTATGGTATTTTCTTGTAAAGCACCAAGAATTATGGTGGCAGATCTTATACATGATGCCATCCTGCACTGATATTATGTGCTAAGTCTTATGTTTGGGTAAAAGAGTTATAGTTCCAATACGGGTAGAAATCTCAGACAACAAAAGGTGAAGAGTTGGAATACCTGCAGAGAACTCAGGAATGTTCTGGGTTTGGCCAGATGGGGGCAGGTATTTCTCTTGCTCATAAAATCTAGTAAGGAATTTGTAATGTTTTATGATCAGAACCTGGATTTTCCATCCAATCCAGAAGCTGACCCAAAAACTGGGAGTTTTAAGCACTGGCTCAACACCAGAACAGCACAGCCGACTGACCTATGGAGAACTCTTAAGACTGGATGTTCAGGCACCTCTTTGTTGATTAAGCCTAATGTTTTCTACAGGTTTTAGTATCATCCTCAGTATTTTCATGGATGGGAATCAACACTAGAATATTTGTGAGCCTTTGTAGCTTCTAGGCCTCAGGAGTGACATTGAAACTGGGCTGTTCTCGTTTTGTGTGCTTACAGTGTGCATTAGAAAAATATACTGTTGGGACTAAGGGTTCCGTTTGCTTTTTTTCTCATAGAAATCATTCCTTAGTCATGCATCTCAGAAGAAGTGGAAGGAGCTGGACTTCAGCAGAGCAAAGATTGAGCACAAAAGGTGGCAAGAAGAACAGAGGCAGCTGAAGAGGGAGCAGCAGAAAGAGGCAGATGGCACCTGACGCCAGCTGCACAGGGACAGCCAGAGGTGATGCTGGGAACTGACTGCTTTTTGTGCTAAATGTTGGAAGGCTGGTAACATCTGCTCCCTGCTGCTCTCCTTCAGTCCCTGCACGTCCCACCTTGTGCTTTTTGCTGGGCTCTGCAGAGGAGTCACAGTGGTTCCCTACTGGGAATAAAATTGGTGCTGGAGGTGGGAGGGAGTGGGTACATAGCATTATCTCCAAGGGCAAATTCCCTTCAGTCCTGTTCTCAGACCAAAACTGCTGAAATCAGGCACCAGCCCATTTGGGGCTTTTGCTGCCTCTGTTCTGGACACAGGTTTAATTCTCATAACTTAACAAAGAGTCCTGGAATGTTAACTGAACACAGATTGCCAAAATATCTGCTTTGTGTCTTATGCACTGTCTTTATTTTTTATTGCTCTTTCTTTATGAGAAATTTGAGAAATTTTGTTTTGGAAACAGGTGACAATTGCATCAGAGAATATTGCAAGGGCTGGAGAAACAGCTGGAACCCAAAGAGAGAGCTTTGCAGCACAAGGCACTGCTCCAGGCTGCTGGAGCTGAGAGGAGCAGGAAGGAATCCTTCTTTCAGGGGGAGGAGGAGAGGAAGGCAAGGCAGAGGCTTCAGTTCTTAAAGACACGGCGTTTGCAGGGAGAGGAGTTGCAGGCAGAAAGCAACAAAAGGAGCTGTGAACAAGAGAAAGAAATGCTGGTAAGGGCAGTTCCAGAACTTTTTTTTTTTTCCTGCCATGTTTCCAGCAGTGGAAGTATATATACAAATATCTGGAGTATTTGTATATCTCACCTGTTTTACATCCAGTGTAACTGTATCATTTAGAGATAAAAAGGGTAACCTTTTTTTGACATGTGTATAAAGATGAAAAGTGGAAAGCAAAATTCCTTATCTCTGCCACAAAAGAAGTTTTTCTGCGTGCAAGAAACTAATTTCCATAGATTATATCCATTTCTGACTAGTGAGAATCATAGTAATGTAGGATGATTTGGATTGTGTTCATCTAGTCCCAACCTCCCTGCCATGGGCAGGGACACATTCCACTAGACCAGACTGCTCAGAACCCCTTGTCCAACCTGCCAGGGATGGGGCATCCACAGCTTCTCTGGGCAACCAGTGCCAGTGCCTCTCCACTCCCACAGGAAAGAATTTATTCCTAATATCTAATCTAAACCTACTCTTTTTCAGTTTAAAGCCATTCTCCCTTGTCCCATCACTCCACACCCTTGTAAAAAGTCCCTCTCCAGCTCTTTGTAGCCACTTTAGGCAATGGAAGGTGCTCTAAAATCTCCACAGAGCCTTCCCTTCTCCAGGCTCAACAACCCCAGCTCTCAGCCTGGCTCCATAGCAGAGGTGCTCCAGCCCTCTGAACATCTTTGTGATCCTCCTCTGGACTCACTCCAGCAGATCCACGTCCATGATGGGGTCCCCAGAGCTGGACAGAGATGAAAAGTGAAGATGAAATTTGGCATGAAGGCTGACTGTAGAGACATTCAAAGTTTTGAATGTCTTTATGTAGGAGTTGCTGAGGAGCAGAATGCAATCATGGCAGGAAGTGCTGGAACAAGAATCCCAGGAGCAGGACAAACAGCAAAAGCAGCACCAGGCTGCCAAAGTGAGAGTGTTCCAGAAGAGAGAGAGTTCTCATCTGAAGATGAAAAAAGAAGGCCAGAAACTCTGTGCCCTGCAGCAGTACTTCTGCGAACAGAAGCTCCTGCTGCTCCAGGCATCCCTGCTCGCCTAAGGAAGCTGCACAGTGGGTGAGCAGGGCCTGGAGCAGTTCACAGACCTGCTGTGTCCTGTCAACTGTGAGTCAGTGTGCCAGAGCAGAGTCGTGACGGGTGTCATTTGGATTCCTGGAGAGGTCTCTAATCTCTCTGTCACTGCAGCCAGAGTGCAGTTCCACTGCTCTGTCCTTGACCTGCCTTTCATCCTGGGGTCACTGGCTTCCCCCTCCCCTGAGAGGGAGCAGCAGGGGATATCTAGAGGCACTTCTCTGCATCAGAAAGGAGGGGTTTTTTAGTGCATTGCACTGTGGTGAGTGGAGGCGCCAAAGGAGAGGAGGAGGAGGTTAAGCATGTCACATCCTGAAGTGCTCCCTCTTCCTCTTATCATCTGTGGTACAAAATTCCCTGTGGCTGTGCCACAGGAAATGCACTGATCAGCTCTGGGTAACCAGAAATTTCAACCAGGTATTTAAAGGAGAATGGACATAGCACAATTCATTTGCTGAAACAGCCAGGGCTATATGGAAATATCTTTATTTTACACAGAATTATGCTAAAATGAATACAATATATGTGATACCTTGTTTCAAGTAATGCCTAGAAACAAACTGGATACAAAATTTCAATTTGGCCTGACAGTCTGTGTACACTTGGAAACATGATACACATTTTCTGGCACATTATAAAAAATTATGCCTCCTTCTAGAATACAGCAACAGTGATAATGGCAGTTTCTTAAAAAAAACAAAGAAAAAAGTAAAATTAAGAAAACTTGTAAAAGGGAGCTCCTTTGAAATCCTGCCAAATATGAATAGCCAGCAGTTTCCAAGCAGTAAGTGTCAGAATGCATTCCTCCAGGGATAACAGAGAGGCTATGCCTTCAGCTTTTCCCTAAAAAGACAAAGTTAAGTCTCTCATCCAGATGTTTACAAACTACTATGAGACCTTAATAGCTAAATGGGTATTTTTAAATTTCAGGATCCATAATGTAGGTGCATGAGCCATCCTGAGATTTTTGCTTAAAGAAAAAAAAAAAAAAGGAAAAAGGAAAGATGAACTTAAATAGACGTTGAAGGCTTTAACAAACAAAATGTCAGAGTTAAGGTCTGAAAAAAGTGTAACTTGCTTGAGATTATGGAAACTACATGTGCGGTACAGTTTTGCATTTTAGACATGAAATCCCATCATTTGGAACAGTTTCCACTCGGTTGAGTGTCTGGAAAAGTTGGCTGGAATTTGCTGAGCAAGAACATGGATGGTTGTGCCCCAGACCTGGCACAGACCCTGCTGAGGGAACATGGGTGCCAGTGGCACATGAAGCTTTTCTTCAGGGTAATGTTAGGGGGGGTTGCTTCTCTTCTTGTTTGGGTTCTTTCTTACATAAAGTCTTGTGCTGGATAGGACGATGCTCTGCCTGCTTATGACTCTAACTAGACTTAAAGAAACAAGCCTCAAACTTAGAAGGTGTTAAACTCTACTCCTGCTTTTATTCTTATGCACTTGGAAATGGAATATGCAATGATTAAAGGAAAGTACATGAAATATACTGAGCTGAATCTAAACTTATTTTTCAGACTTCATTTATATGCTATTAATCATTGCTTTATAATCACCATAAAAGAGCAGATTGTCTGCTTATGCACTTTCTCTTCATTGCTTAATCACCTGAGAACAGACCACTGCAGAGACCCTGGTCTACTGCTATTTCACACAGGGTGCGTCTGGGAATATATTCAGTACCACATTATTTCCAATCATTCACAGACTGTATTTCTGTATTAAAATGCAGCCATAAAATCATTTTAATACTGCTATTAAAATAATTGACTGTAAATGCCACATTAATCCAGCTCTTCTGCTAGCTTTATTTTATTTTAAACATTCACAGTGTGGTTTTGATTCATCAGGAAAAGGCTTGGACTCTGGTTTGAAACCTGCTGGGAAAAAAACCGTAAGTATCTGCATATCAGTTAAGGTTCTGAGTAGAGTGGAACCAGGGGAGCACCAGAGAGGGTAGTAGAGAAAATCGCACAAAGAAGAAAAAAAGAAACCTCTTAAGTTTCAGAAACAGAAAAATTAAGACCAGGACAAATATTCCCAGAAGTTGTTTTTTATTAGGGAATTAAGTTTTTCTGCCTAGGTAAGTATTTTATTATGCTGTTTATAATCCAAACTCCTATCATAATGTACTAGAGTGCAGAAGTTTGAAAAAAAAATTAAATGGTCTGGTTTTGTCATCCAAAATTACTAAGAGCAGACCACTACATGCAGCATGTTAGGACACTTCTACAATAAAAGTAGAAGTTAAAAGTACAAAAGACAAACACATTTATTGGTTTTTTTCAGCCTGAATGTGTTGCTTAGGTGATGCTAGAATATCATTTCTCATACCACAGTGCAGGTAAGTCAGTAAATTAAATATTTAACCTGATGTATTTTAAAACAGACTTGATCAATTAACATCTTTCTGAAGATGTTTTTAAAAAATACCAGAGCACATTAGCTCTTACAACTGTGCAATGAGTGGGAAATGTCCAATTGTGCAAATTCTTCCTACTTTCTGGAATAGACCTTCTGATCATCCCATGCCTGGTGCTTGGCTGAAATGGCTGAAGGCAGCATTAGTGGAGAGCAACTACTGCGCACCAATCCCAGGGGTACCCGTGACTCCTCGCCTGCAGCTTCCTCTGTGTCAGCTCACAGGCAACACAGGTAACCCCCCACAGGGAGAGGGTAGCAGCCACAGGAGTCTATTTGAGGGCAGAAGCTGCAGTTTTGATGAGCAGTGGCTTAGCTGCCTCCAGGATGTCCAGTTCAGGGTCCAGTGAACGTCCCAGTCCTTCCAGAACCATGATGGCAAAGATGATGGAAGCAAAATTGCTCTCGAGCTTCACCTAGAACCACAACAGACTGAATGGACTTAGTGGATATTATTTTCTTCTGTACCCCTTCAACCAAGGCACCAGCTCTGCCTAAGCTGGGAGGGAAGGGAAGAGGCTGGGGAGAACATTTGCACACCTGAAACTGTAATGCAACTCCACTAGTTGGACTGTGCAGCCCTGTGGCTGACAACCCCAGTACAAGCCACCACAGGTCTTTTGATTTCCAAAGTTGCTTGCAGCTGTGGAAATTTGTCCCCCAAATAATCAGTTATAAGGAGGTATCTATAGTCTAAGGGACTATAAAAAATGTAGCAAAAACTATGTGTTACAAAAAAATACTCCTTTTAGTAGACAATATCAACCATTAAATGAAGTATTAAGACAAAAAATAAAAAACACCACCCCCCCAAAAAAGACCCAAACCAGAAATTAGGCTTGGCAGAGTGTGTATAAGACTTGAGAAACAGCATGCCTGCAACACTTGGATGCATTCCTGCAGTTCCTCTCCTAGCACTCTTAGCAGTTTGTTTTAAAAGTCAGTCCCACTCCTTGTTAGCCCCTCATGTTCCCAATACTCCCTCCCCAGATGAACTTTCAGCTATTAAAGGCAGACAGGGACAGGACCTCACCTTATGGGTCATCAATAGTTTGAAGACACTCGAAAGGAGATTTCCCACCTGAAGCTGGAATACACAAGGAGAATTTTAACAGCTGACCAAAAAATCTTTTTGTTTCAGTTTTCAGTGCCAAGTGGCACTGAATTACAGGTAAGTGGGACTGTGACACGGTACACTTGCCTTGCCCAAGGCAATGGTATTCCCCCGGACCTTGGTCACAAGCTCTGCCATCTCAGCCTTGAAGCGCTCGATGTCCTGGCACTGGTTGGCACGGGCATGGTGGAGGATCAGCTCTGCCACCCTCTCCCCCTGAGAAACAAGTTGAACAGCACAAACAGTACCTGATCACTGGTGACTTGGAATCAGATGCTCGCAATTCTTGCTTTTAGTTGCTGAGAAGTGCCCCTGGCAGCATAGGATGAGCCTGGATACAGGGTTTAGCATGGATTCTTTGGCATGCTTCAGCAGACCAAGAGAAAATGTGTCCCTCTTGAGCTGTGTTAGTGAGCCCTTCACCCTGCAGCTGAGAGACAGCAACAGGCAAGTAGGAGCATAATGCTTGTTCCCAGAATGAACAGGAGACTCCATCACTGGGTTCTCTAGTCCACCTGACAGTGAGTTTCAAGGCGGGAGGAGGATAATGTAGTTCCCCTCACATGGAGGAGCCTAGCAGAGGTCAGATCCCTCCACACACACGTTTTCCTTCCTCTCTATAGATGCTGACACAACAGCAAAGTGGAGGAAGGCATATGGGCCTTCCAGCAGCAAGGCTGCAGAGAGGAACATGTGGGGCAGATCAAGATGTTAACCCATTCCTTCCTCTTCTGTAGCAAAACCTGACAGATTCTGCAACAGTGGCACCCAGGCAGTCCTAACTTGCAACAGAATACTCCTAACCAGGAAGGGGCAGCCAATACTTCGCATTTACCCAGGGGCCCAGAAATTGCTCCACTCTGGCAGCCTCCTTGCTACAGCTGAACAACTTATCCTTGTGTTTGGGGATAAGCTAGCAAGGGATAAGCTAGCAAGGCTCCTTACCCCTCTTGGCATTTCAAGGGGAAATAGAAAACTCTTGCTATGGCCATTGGATTCTGCAGCCATCTCCCTTCCCCAACCAGCCCCATGCTGGAGAGGGGCCTCACCTGTCCCTGGACCACAGCTGTGAACACGGCACGGAAGTTCTGCATGTCAGCGCTCTGCAGCTCCGCCACGATCCCTGCGTCCAGCAGCACCAGGCGCAGCTGCCGCAGGGGTGGCTGCACCTCTGGCACATGGGTGTCACACAGCTCTGGCACCCGGGTGTCAAACACGTCCGGGCGGGTGCTGCCTGGCCGCACCGTGCCTTGAACTAGGATGTTCCCGGGGTGCAGGTCGGCGTGGACGAAGTTGTCAACGAAGATCTGGAGGACAGGTAAGTGTGAGAGCAGCTCATTCCAAGCAAACCTGGTGACACCAAAAGCCCCCAGGCAAACGGCAGAGGGTTGTTTGTGGTCTGTTGTCTGTCATTACCAGTGATGGGGCATCACCCTGGGCAGCACCACAGCAGGTGGCTTCAGCTGGAGACCAGCTCGGGTACTCAGGAAGTCAGCAGAGCTGTGTGAAGCGATCCAGTGTTTGCTAGAGGTCAGGTAGGACAGCCAGGAGTCCCAGCAGGGAATGGCAGTGCCCTTTGGCAATTAGCCCTAAACTAGGGCACAGTGGTGGGCCTTAGCAAAGAGTAACACAGTAAGAATAGGCTGTTTGCCATTCAGTGACAAAGGTTACAGTGAATGGTTACGTTTGTCTAGTGCAGGACACCAACCCACATTACAACTGTATTGAAAAGTAAGGAAAACAAGAGAAGAGGAAATAAATCTGTGTAGCTCTTCTCTGACTCTGCTAGCAGTTAGCACCAAAAAGGACTGGCAAGAGGACAAGAACCAAACAGTATTTCCCCCGCCACCCACCCTCCTGGTAACCTGGGACTGTAAGACTTCCAGCCCCAAAGAGATTATCTTTGCATTTAATGGATTTCTATGAATTTTTTCAACTGCCATGTAAATAATTAGAGCTGTGTGAAAAAATATGGTTTTGGTGTTGCCTGAAAAAAATTACTTCTACTAATTTTATGTCCTCCTTATTGAGAAACCCTACACAATAGATCCATATTCATTCTCGTGCACTCATGACTGCATAATCTTTGTCATAAGCTACTCGTCTTTCTGCTTTCCAGAGTTAAGAGTCCAAATTATTTCACCATTCTGGTATGGAAGCCATTCCACATGAGTAATCATCCTATCTGCCTTCCTCTGCACCTCTTCTAGTTCTACTACAGCCCTTGCAATGGAGGTTCCTGGGCATCAAGGGACTAGAACTGCAGAGTACTCTAGAAAGAGGTATTTATTTACAGAAAGAGTTGTTTCTTTGCCCTTTAATTCTTTCCTACTCCTAAAATTGGAAGCCGATCTTAGCATGAAACTATTCTGGTTCCAGCATTGCTTTTCTGAGTGGTAAAAGCTATTTCAGAGCCTGTCATACTACCTGGAGCCAGAAGTGGAGGTTCACTATTGCCCTAGCACAATACTGCAGTTAGCAGCAGCATTTCATCTGACATGCACTGCCCACACACTCAGTACTGTCAGGAGCTTTTGCAGCTCTTCCCTGCTGGTTCTCACAGCCCCTCACAAGACACTTGTACCACCCTCTCAAAACTCCTTTCCAGACTTTTTGGGATTATTTCAGCCACAGAAGAACTAGATAGCCAGAAGCTGAACCTGGCCAAGTTTGTTGTCTTTACTACAGGTTTAGTTCTCCCTAACAAAAAGGCAGTTTTAGAGGAGTTGATAAATTAAGAAATCAGCTCATTGTTTTCCCTCTGAGTCACATCCACAATCTCTGTAGAGCACATGACATTTGCTAATAATGTAGCACTTTAAGGTACTTGGGTAATAGGTGAATATTCATTGAATAGATTGGTGGGTGTCCTAAGCAAAGGCTGACCAAGATGCACAGGCCAGTCCTACTGTGTGCAGGCAGATGGCCCCTCTGCAGTGGCAGAGCTCCTTGTCAGAGCCTCAGCAGGGCCGAG